AGACAGTTCAGAGCTGTTTGACAACTCCAAGTGGGATAAACAAGTGAGAGAAAGTATCCTATGGCAGAGCCATGGGGGTTGGGGGTGAGGGCAGTCACCGGCTGAGAAGCAGCAAGGCAAGACCGGAGTGAGGGTTGGTCACCATCTCTAACGTGTACTGCCCATGCCTTGGCAGGTGAGAGCCAGGAGTAATCAATCAGGGAAGGAAGAGAAGACAACTGACCTACTGTTGTCCTCTAGGTCAAGTCTAAATCCTTGGTAGAACATTCAAGACCTTCCCTGACCTGGCTCATGCTTCCTTTCCAGTTTGTTTTTCCTCTCCCTAGCTCACTCGAGCACTACAGATACCGCTCTCAATTCAGTGCACGCCCGCACACACACAACTCCCTCTGCCTTCATAATCCCCGATGTGTGCTCAGCGCTGACCAGCTCATGCTCCTAGATTTAGCCCCTGCTTCTTCAGCTGCTCCAGGTGCACTTAATGATTCTGATGTCTTTCGGATGTCATCTGTGATGTGCCCTCATAACTGAATTATTTCAGTTGCACAACTTGTTTACATGCCTGCCTCAGGGGAACTGTGAGCTCCATGAGGGCAGAGCTTACATAACATATATATATATATACACACACACACACACTTATATAACATATATATACTTACATAACATATATATATACTTACATAACATATATATATACTTACATAACATATATATACTTATATAACATATTTATATGTTTTAAAACATTTACTTGGAGGGGTGGGGAAGAGAGAGAGAGAGAGAGTGAGCGAGCTCCATTGGGGTTCATCCCCAAATGCCTGCAATGGCCAAGGCTGGGTTGAACTGAAGCCAAGAGTCAGAAACTAAATCCAGGTTTCCCATAGGAGAGGCAGGAATTACACTGAATTTTGGCATCACTGATGTCACTCATGGTCTGCATTAGCAGGAAGCTGGAGTCAGGAGTTGGAAGTGGGTATTAAACTCAGGTACCGTGATACAACACGGGCATCTTAACCAGAATCTCACTTGTTAGGTTAAACACCCACCCCTATTCAACATTTTAAACTCCAACACCTAACACGGTGGCGCACACGTAGTAAGTGCACAGTGAACATTTGTTGGGTGAATGAATGTGTGACTGGGTTCACATTTGTACCGAGGAGACAGAAAGTATACAGAGAACACAATTATGTGACAAGGACCATAATAACAGCTCATTTTGGGTACAGAAAGGAAGGAATGCCATTTCTCAGGCAGCACAATTCTGTAATGTGCGATTCAAAATAAAAACAGAACAGTAAATAAAAATGTAGTTTTTGAGCAAACAAAAATTCTTACCCTTCTGGATGAAAATAGGATAAGCCTTTTCTTTTCGGAAGGGGGCAGTGCCTGAATCTGTCAGAGCACTGGCACACTCAAGATTTTAACTGAGAACTCAACGATGATTCAATGCATTGACTCTTGGGCAGGGCTAAAGAAGCCAGGTGTGGGTGAAGAGGCACCGAAAGACCAGCAATAGCAGGTGGAGCGGCTGCAACCCCAGGCCTACAGGCAGAGGGATGGAGCCTGGAGCTGCAGTCACGGCGGATCCCAGCCAATCTCAGCCTGGCCCAGCAGGCTTCATCCGTGCTCTCCCATCCTCATTACAGCTTTGGCTCTCACTGGCTGAACTCAACCCAAAGCTGGAGCCCTGGTGATACAGTCCATAGAACTCCGGCTCCTAGGCAAGGTGGGGAAGGGCCAAGAAGGGATCTGGGCAGTGAGAGGGTAATGGGATGAGAACCAGGGTGCAGGGAGGATGCTTCAGTTTTGTGGTTGACCTATGTAGATACAGGGTTCTTCAAAAACTTCACAGAAAATATGTATCATGAAAAAATATGCATGGATTTCGATATTTTTGTAGCCAAAAAAATCTATCTTTTAACTCAGGTTTTTAATGAACTTTTTGAAATACCCTGATATGATTAGCTTGTCCATTGATTAAGCAAGCACTGGCTTGAACTCTGTGAAAGAAAATTCTAGGACCCATGTTTGTACATTTAGGCTTTTGTGTATGTAAGCTTATTAACATCTGTGCCACTGTACTGATAGGTCCAGGGTGGGGCTCCAGGCATCTAGGTGTTCAGAAAGCTTCCCAAGTGAACATGAAGGCCCCACTGATACAGTCTGCATTTGCATTCCCATAGGTAGGCAACAACAAGGCCCAGAGAAATTAGCAATGGCATGGCACAGTCACTCAGGTGACCTCAGAGGGTGTGACTGGAAAACTGAATGGCTGTACCTGTCTTCTAGTCCAATTCCTGCATTTTCCTGATGAGGAAACTGAGGCTGTAAACATGAAGTGACGTGCCCAAGTATGCAATCACCAACTCATGGAGGAGGAGGCGTTAGTACCAAGCACAGAATAATTCTCTGGGCCGGTGCTGTGGCACAGCAGGTTAAGTTGCTGTCTGTGATGCCAGCATCCCATATGGGTGCCGGTTCAAGTCCGGGCTGCTCCGCTTCTGGTGCAGCTCCCTGCTGATGCACAGGGGAAAGCAGTGGAAGATGGTCCAAGTGCTTGGGCCCCTGACCCCCATGTGGGAGACACAGATGAAGCTCTTGGCTTCGGTCTGGCCCATCCTCAGCCATCACAGCCATCTTGAAAGTGTAACAACTGAAGGAAGATCTCTCTCTTTTTTTTTCTTGTCTGTTTCTCTCTCTCTCTCTCTCTCTCTCTGTATAACTTAAATAAATAAATCTTTAATAAAAAAGGCACAGAATAATTCTCAATCCAGTGTTCTTCTGGGGCAGCACACTTTGTAGTGTGTGTGTGTGTGTGTGTGTGTGTGCGCGCACGTGCATGACAAAGCCCTGGGTACCTGAAACTCCTGGAGACCGCTAATTAGGGCTGGTCATCAGCTACCGCCCCGCTATTCCCATCACAGACCACTCACCCAACCTTTGGGATGTATCAGAAATCTCTGTCTCCAAGAAGCTCGGGAGGCTGAAATGCCCTGGAATCAGCAGCCCTTCCCTTTTCGCCATCCCACAAGACACGTCAGGTGTGGGCGGAGCCTCAGAGCTCACCCACTCACAGTACTCAGTGTCAGAGAGGGGAAGAGATTCAGCCACTCTCGGGGGATGCAAGTGGCAAGGCTGGGACGACATTCCAGTCTGGTTGGCTGCCTACCAGTCCACCCACCTTGTGTTTGGGAATACGCACGGCTTCAAAGGTGCTCATGCACCTTTAGTCTACTTAACGTCAACATTAAATCCTCAGGGCTGGTGCTGTGCTGTGGAGGGTAGAGCGACTGCCTGCAGCGCCGGCATCCCATATGGGTACCAGTTCAAGTCCTGGCTGCCCCTCTTCCGATCTAGCTCTCTGCTACGGCCTGGGGAGGCAGTGGGGGGTGGCTCGGGTGCTTGGTACCCTGGACCTGCATGGGAGGCCCAGAGGAGGCTCCTGGATCCTGGCTTCAGATCAACCTGGTCCTGGCCATTGTGGCCATTTGGGGAGGGAACCAGTGGATAGAGGGCCTCTTTCTCTCTGCCTCTGCCTCTCTGTAGCTCTGCCTTCCAAATAAATATTCCTGAAGTCGTACTTATGAAATGCATGAAGTCTGCATTCTTTAAATAAAAGGTTTCTTTTGGGGGCAGGGAAGGCCAGGCAATAAAGAGATTGAAGAAAAAAAAATCTTTAGAAAAATCATTAAACTCTCTTGATGTTTCTTCGGCAAAGTTACTCACACTTCTTGGGGTCCTTAAGGGTGCTCAGGTCTGCCTGTCACTCCTGTTTTGGTGTGTGTTACAGTTGTCTTCGAGTTGTGAAACGTATGTGCCTGAGGCCAACTGACTGTGTTTGTTTCTATATTAGGGTTCTGGGTCTACAGGCTGAGGCTTGCCCATACACGTGTCTGTTCTCACACTGAGGGTGTATGTCAACCGGCAGGTGTTGGTTTTCTGGCTGCGTCCTTAAGGTGACTGTGACACTGGACAGTCTTGTGTATGTGTGGATCTACAGGCCTCGTTTCACGTCCAAGGCTGTGTGCTTGCATCCAGTGAAAGCTGGGTGTAACTGCAATTGTGCCTCCAAGAACGGTATGTTCAAAAACTGAACGGGATGTTTTTGAATTTTGTTCCTGGGTATGAGAACATGTGTGCAACCGTGCATCCATGGCAGAAATATGTGTCTCCGCCAAGCCTGGTCCTCACCCAGGCATGGGGTCACGGTCACGTTCTGGGATGCCTCGGTACGGCCTCCCTCCCCGGAGGAGCTGGGCCTCGCGGCCCCGCCTGCTGGCCCCAGGGCACTCCTTCCCCTCTCGGGCTGCAGCCGGACCAGCCGGGCCGGCGTCGGCAGCCGGGCCCCGCCCCCCGGCGCCAGGCCCCGCCCCCCGAGCTCCGGCTCGCTGATTGGCCGAGGCGCGGGTGACGCCGCGGGGTTCATAGAACCCCGAGCGCCCGGCGCGCGGGAGGTATTGTCCACTACCCCGGCTTTGTTACGTCGTCTGCTGCTCACCTGGCCGCGGGCGCGTGCTGGCCGTGGCAGTTCGGAGCAGGGTCCCCGCCAGCCGCCGCCGCCGCTGCCGCCGCCGCCATGGTGTCCCCGGTCACTGTGGTGAGTGAGCGGGCGAGCGAGCCGGCGTCCCGGGCGGCCAGAGCCCACCCGCTTGGCTGTAGCGCTGTGACGGGCCACGCCGCTGGGGCCTTGACGGGGCAGGGGCCCTGCGGCGGCCGACGGCCCCTGGTGGGGCGGCGGGCGCTGGCACTGCCCCGGCCGCCGGACCCGCGGCGCCCCGCCCCCGCGCGCCCCCCGCCCGCGGGACGGCGGAAAACAGAGCACACGTGACTCGGAAGCGTGACTTTGTTGATCTCTGCGCGTCTGGCGCGGGGCGCGGGGTCGCGCGGGGGAGGCCCGGAGGGGTGGCAGACTTGGTCCTCCCGAGACTCCTGTTCTGACTTCGTGTCCGCCCCTTCTTCGTCTTAGAAACAGGTCAGGCTGTGGAGGGGCGGCCCCGAGTCTCAGCAGCGCTGCTAACGCGCTGGGGGAAGCAGGGTCCTTGTCTGTGGACACCCCCTCCTTTCCAGGCTGTCTCAACTCCAGCTTTTGTCTTGCCTCCCTGCCCTTTTTTAGAGCCGGGTTCCCTGGGACTGTCCAGACCTCCCAAGCTACTTCCTGCCTGTCGGTTTCTCTTGCTAGGACATAATGGGGCTAGGAGGGGCATGGAACCAACGTCAGTGCCCCCGAGTGCCGGCAGGTGGATGCAGAGGGAGCGGGGGCTGGGTCTCTGACCTGCCAACCTTGATGGTGGTGGTGGTGGGGGATTTCCATGGGAGGGGGAAGGCGCCTCTTCTCTGGCAGAACTAGGACAAGTGTCCACCCCAACCCCCCTCCTCAGGGTCTGATCCGGGAGTCCGGGTGTGTCCCCAGAGCACTGTGCCAGACAGCTCATAAGTCAAAGACACAGTCACTTTGGGGGCGGTGTGGGTATACAGGGGGACCCTCAGCTGCTCTGGTCCCCCAGAAAGGAGCTACAGGGGATCACAAATTCAGAATATCTGCAGCCATCCCCTCCTCCAGCTTGGACTGTGCCTGCAGTGCCCTGGAGTGAAACCTTCCTTTAGCTGCCCTCCCCCCTAATCCCGGCTGAGACCAAGTCAGCTGCTTTAACTTCCCCCTCTGAGTTCCCCACGGCCTCCCAGCCTGTCTGCTGGCTCCAGATCAGAAGCTGGACAGAGAGCCCTCCCCTCTTCCTGCCTCCTTGTTGACTAACTGGCCCTCCCCTTCTCCCCAACCCTGAAATATCTGAGTTTAGGGATGGTTTTGTTGCTCCCAATTTGTGAGTCTGTTTCTCGCCCCAGCATCTGAACACCTCTGCTTTCCTTTGATGCCTCTGGTCCAGGCGGGGGCAGGTGGAGTGGAGGCTGAGCAGCACAGGGGCAGAGGAGCGAGCCTGCAGCGTGGAGGTGGTTGTCACTGCCCACCCTCCCACATTCCTGGCGCTTACCTAGTGTTGCCAGAGGCCTAAGCCTGTGCCCTGGCCCCACTACTGAGGATCAGAAGTTGGCCACTCAGGGCGGCTCTGTGGTTTCCCGCTGAGTCCACTCCATTCCAGACAGCTGGAGGCTGACGCTGGCAGAGAGAGGGGCTAAAGGGACCCTGAGGAGGGGAGGGAGGGCATGGGAAGGGAGAAGCATCCTAAGGGCTGTTTTCTGCCGAGTGAGTGATCATTCCAGTTTAGCCCAAGAGAGGACATGGATAACAACAACAGTGGGGCCCTTCTCCTGCCTGACGAATTGAGCCTCAGGGTGGTTGATGGGTTTGCTCACACCCTGCGGGCTGGTTGGGGCAGGTGAGGCTGGGCTTTCTGTGTCAATACTGCTTCCCCGGGGTGGGGTGTGTGTGTGTGTGTGTGTGTGTGTGTGTGTGTGTGTGTGTGGTGTGTGCTGGGGTAGGCCCACCTCTGGGGTGGACACCTAGGCTGAGGGTGCTGGCTCTGAGCCCCACTACGGGCCTCTGAGCTGCCAAAGCTCTGAGTGCTGCCCATATCCCGTGTCCTCCAGGTGAAGAGTGAGGGACCCAAGCTGATGCCCTTCTTCAAGGCCACCTGCGTGTATTTTGTGCTGTGGCTGCCCTCATCCAGCCCGTCGTGGGTCAGCGCCCTCATCAAGTGCCTGCCCATCTTCTGCCTCTGGCTCTTCCTTCTGGCTCATGGCCTTGGGTTCCTGCTGGCCCATCCCAGCGCCACGCGCATCCTAGTGGGACTCGTCTTCTCTGCCCTAGGTGATGCCTTCCTCATCTGGCAGGACCAGGGCTACTTTGTGCACGGTGAGTGGCCCCAGTAGCTGCCTGGCCGGGGTCCTGGGGCTGGGGGCCAGAGGGTTTAGGGGGAGGGTCAAGGATTTGGAAGTGGGGGCTTTGACCCGGAAGGAGTCTGAGAGTTTCTGAGGTCGGGGACCATGGAAGCCCCTGTTGGAGGATGCCCTTGCATGTGATCTGGAGTCCTTGAGGGGAGTGGGGAGGTGTGGTCTTTACCCAGGCACCTTTCCCACCCTGTTACTCCCACAGTGAAGCCTCTGGGCAAACACTTGTTTACCAAGCCCGCCCTCAGCATCCCTCATCCCTTCTCCCAGGTCTGCTGATGTTTGCTGTGACCCACGTACTCTACGCCTCAGCCTTTGGCATGCGGCCACTGGCTCTTCGGACAGGTCTGGTGATGGCAGTGCTGTCAGGCCTGTGTTATGCTATCCTCTACCCGGGCCTCTCGGGTGCCTTCACGTACCTGGTGGGGGTCTACGTGGCCCTCGTCAGCTTTATGGGCTGGCGAGCTATGGCAGGGCTGCGGCTGATGGGGGCAGCCTGGCGTTGGACTGAGCTGGCGGCTGGCAGTGGCGCACTGCTGTTCATTGTCTCAGACCTGACCATCGCCCTCAACAAGTTCTGCTTTCCTGTGCCCTACTCGCGGGCTCTCATCATGTCCACCTACTATGCAGCCCAGATGCTCATCGCTCTGTCCGCAGTGGAGAGCCGGGAGCCTGTGGAAGACTACAGACTGAGCAAGGCCAACTGAGGCACCAGGGTCTGCTCACCCATTCCCCTGGGGCTGGACTCCAGACCCTGGGAACCTGCAGGAGCTGGATCAGGATGGCTGCAATGCCAGCCTGGGGCAGCAGGTACCACTTGGGGAACTTGCAAGTTTGAGGGGTAAGCCAGCAAAGGATCTCCCAAGCAAAGCTAGTGGTACAGGACAGTGCTGAGAGCTAAGAGGGAGCCTCACGCCCTTGCTGGCGCCAGAAGTAGACATCTCCTCGCCTCTGTCCCATCAGGATTGTCGGAGCCCCTGGAGGGTGCTGGTGCTTCTTAAGCCCCTCTTGCCCTACTGGGTGGAAGAGGCTGACTCCATCTCTTATGCCCAGGGCCAGTGGCAAGGCTGGGATCACCCCCTCCCACCATTTCTGGTCTGCACAGAGTTAAGGGAAAGATGAGGGAAACCTGGGCTGAGATGACTTGGGCCAATGGCACGAGTCCTTCTCACAGGTCCCTAACTGGAAAGAGTGGGTGAGGGTGGAGGCTCCCTTTTCCTGTCTATCCCTGTTACTTGAACAATCTCAGTCTCTAAGTAGGGTAGGTGGGAAGGTGAACTGGTGTCTGTCCCCGGTAGGTAGAAGAGGGAACTTCTTTGGTCTGGGAGCTTGGGGTCCCAGGGATTCAAGTTGTCCCCATCTCTCTGACAGGCCAGCCCAGAGCTCAGGCCCCACACCACCCCTTCAGACTTTATCCCTAGGGCTAGAGTGAACCATGCCAAAGGAAGGGGCCAGCCTGCGCGCGCGTGTGTGTGTGTGTGTGTGTGTGTGTGGTCTCCTGGCCTTCCTGTGTCTTTCTCTGCCTATGTTTCTGTCCTGCTGTCTGTCTGAGTCTCATAGGGAGAGGGCCTCAGGGAGCTGCTGAGCCTGGCTCAGAGAGCTGGGGTCCCTCCCCACAATGCTTACACTCTCAGTGCTTCCCTCTCTGTCCCTCCTGCACTGGGAGCAAGAGGAGGGGCTTCAATGACACTCTGGGTCTTAAGACTAGAGGCACAGTCAATGCAAGGGGAGCAAGGATGGGGCAAGCCCATCCTCTACTTCCCGTGTGAATAAAAATAAAAACTGAGGGCCGTTGGCTGCCTTGCTTGTCTGCCTGTGTGGCATGTGCCTGTTCTGGAGACGGGGTGGCGGCCCAGTGTGTCCTCACAGCCTGGGTCACGGTCCTGGCCAGTGCGTCTTGCTTGGCACCAGGCTGGCTCCCTGGCTCTGGTGACACTGTGATGGCTGGCGTGGGTCTCGCTTCCCTGCTCACATACATGGGTGAGGGTATGGTTCGGGAGGACGGGAGATGGGTAGCATTTGCCGTGATCCACGTTCGGCCTTAGGCATAGCCGTCCGACATGCTTGGTGATCCTCAGGTACCCAGTGTCCTCGACTGATGCCCGTCTTCTCCCTTCCCCTCCCCAGACCTGCCACCTGCTCTAAAGTGGGCCAGATTCCCTCCAGCCATCTCCTGGGACTCTGGGCTTAGTTGAACAGCTGGCCGGGAGGAGTGGGATTAGATGAGCTGATTCATACTTAAGCTTTGAAGCCCTGGCAAAAGAATGAGCTACCTCCATTTTTTTTTTTTTTTTTAAATAAACAGGTAATACCCCAACCCAGAGGTAGAAAGTCTTGGGTGGCGGTGAACTTGCCATTAGTATAGGTGTTGCACATTTGTAGGGGAATGTGATAGTAGGAGACTCAACTTTCATACAGGCATTGGATGAAGCAGTGCTTTTCAAACCCTAGTTTTTATAGAGATTGCTGGTGGGGGCCAGCAAAAGAATAAGGAGAGGAGGAAGGCAAAAGAATAAGGAGAGGAGGAAGGCTCAAAAGATCCCTTGTCTTTGTTCCAAGTTTGGTAGCTTTGTCAAAATTTTTTAAAGGAAGGACTGTGGTACACAACTTAGTGTGAAACTTAGGGGACTGGTTGATGAATCATTCCCAGCTCTGCGAGTGGGAACCCCAGACATGAAAGAGGGAAAGTGCTGATCTTTTCAAACCCCAGAACTCTTGAACACAGAGCCTACTGGAGAAGAACTGTGAGGGAGCAGCATGGAGAGAAGTGTGAAGTCAGCAAGATTTGCTCCCGTCCCCGGAGGAGGGCGGGAGGTGCCGTGTGGCTGTGGGGGAGGGGAAGGCAAGCCAAGGGCAGGCGACGGGGCTGCTCACTCCCCTGTGAATGGGTTTTTGGACCAGGATCTTGGGGCCAGGCCAGGGAATCCCCCTCCTACTGTGTCCGTCCCCTTGGTTCTTGCTGGCCAGCACCCACAGTAACAGGACAGGGTGAGCTCAGTTTATTGTCCTACCCTTCACTGAATGTTTATATTGACAGGGAGGAAAGTGGCCTCCCTGTACTGGGGCCATGCAGGGGCCAGGCCACTAAGCTCCACATCCTATCAGCTTCCTGATGCCTGGGCTGGGCTGGAGGCCACGTAAGGTGCTTTGATTTCTTCTGCAGACTCTGTTAATGGGTGCCAGGGTTGTCTTGTCATTTTTGTCTGAAAGAGCAAAGCAAGTATTCGTTAGTGTTAGGAAAACGCCAAAGTGCTAGTCTTGGAGTTACTCCCCAGGAAACAGACTGGACCTGGGACCCTCAGTCCTGGGATGGCCTAGGATTTGCCATTTTCAGCACTGAATGTTTGCCAGGCATCGTGCCAGACGCACTCCCATGTGCTGTCTCATTCAAGCCTCAGGGCCTCAAGGAACAGATGAGGGAACCGCCTCAGAGAGGTGGTCTGTGGAGATCCCGTGGCTTGTCAGTTTTGGAGCCAGGGCCCTGGGGCCACGTGCATCCAGTCAGGCCTGTCTTCCAGGGATCTCTCTAGCTGGGGAGTGAAAGCCCGGCGGCTCCCACAGTGTCTTCCCTGGCCCATTTCTGTTACGCAGCTCGGCAGTCACTCTGGAGGCATCATCATCTCAGTGCCAGATGCTTAGCTGAGCGCCTGAAAGACAGCAACAGGATCCAGTCCTTTCCCCCAAGGAGAGGCATCTGTAACCATGGAGACCATGGCCTGGAGGGTTCAGGGAGGGGCAGAGGATGAGGCTGGAGAGGTGGGGGAGAGGAGATCTTGGTTGGGCTTTTATCTTCAAGATCAGTGGAAAGATGGAGAATTTAAGCAAGAGGGAGCAAGGCTGACTGGCTTGTCATTTAGAGAATTCACGCCGCTAGCCTTGTAGCTGTGAAGACACTAAGCTGTGTGGGAAAGAACAAAGTATGTCCCCTGATGTGTGCACACAGGAGAAATGTGGCCTGTATGTGCCAGAGGGAAGTTTCCCTCAGTCCTCCCCCTATTTTGCCTGTCTCCTGTCTTTATTCTAGGCTGGTAGTTTATTTTTCTTTTGAAAGATTTATTTATTTTATTTGAAAGGCAGAGTTACAGAGACAGAGGCAGCGACACAGAGAGATCTTCCATCCATTGGTTCACTCCTCAGATGGCCACAATGGCCAGAGCTGGGCCGATCCGAAGCCAGGAGGCAGGAGCTGCTTTTTCTTCTTCTTTTTTAAGATTTTATTTATTTTTATTTGAGAGGTAGAGTTACAGACAGTGAGAGGGAGAGACAGAGAGAAAGGTTTTCCTTCCATTGATTCACTCCCCAAATGGCTGCAATGACTGGAGCTGCGCCAATCCGAAGCCAGGAGCCAGGAGCTACTTCTGGGTCTCCCACGTGGATGCAGGGGCCCAAGGACTTGGGCCATCTTCTACTGCTTTTCCAGGCCATAGCAGAGAGCTGGATGGGAAGAGGAGCAGGTGGGACTAGAACCAGTGCCCATATGGTATGCCGGTGCTGCAGGCGGAGGATTAACCTACTGCGCCACGGTGCCAGCCCCAGGAGCTTCTTCTGGGTCACCCACATGGGTGCAGTACTTGGGCCATCCTCCACTGCTTTCCCAGGCACATTAACAGGGAGCTGGATCGGAAGTGGAGCAGCCAGGTCTCCAACCACATAGGACTCTGGTGCCATAGGTAGCAGCTTTACCGGCTACACCACAGTGCCAACCCCTAGCCTGGTAGTTTTCAGTTTTGGTTACACATCAGAATCTCTTGCAAAATTTTGTTAATGTATAGATTCCCCCTGGAAACCTGTCGGAGAGACTGGGATTGGTGAGACTGGTTAAGGACTGATCATAAGTAACTTTTTTTTTTTTTTAAGATTTTTATTTATTTATTTGAGAGGTAGAGTTAAAGACAGTGAGAGGGAGAGACAGAGAGAAAGGTCTTCCTTCCATTGGTTCACTCCCCAAGTGCCTGCAATGGCCGGAGCTGTGCTGATCTGAAGCCAGAAGCCAGGTGCTTTTTCCCAGTCTCCCATGCGTTGCAGGGGCCCAAGGACTTGGGCCATCTTCTACTGCTTTCCCAGGCCATAGCAGAGAGCTGGATTGGAAGAGGAGCAGCCGGGACTAGAACTGGCGCCCATATGGGATGCTGGAGCTGCAGGCGGAGGATTAACCTACTGCGCCACCACGCCGGCCCCAACAAGTAACTTTTTTAAAAGAGGTCTAGGCCCACCAAGGGTTTGCAAACCATAACTTTCCTGGGCATCACAAGCCCCCATGTCTGTAGGGGCCAGGCATATAGCAAGTGACATGAAGAGGAAGGGAGCGCAGGTGGCTAACTAATGTCTGCACTACTTGGTGGTGGTCAGATGAAATGCAAGATGGTGCCACCCGAATGAAGAGATGCCTAATGGCCCAAGAGACCGTGCTTTTGCGCCTCTGCCCCAGACAAGATGTGTGCCCCCAGCCCAGGCCCAGGGTGCCCTCACCATAGACGGTGAGCGTGCAGCTGCTGTGGTCCTTGCTCAGCTTGTTCTCTACCAGTGTGCTGTGCTCCTGCTGTCCTTGAGCGTGTGCAGTGGGGATGACCTGGATGCACACACCACTCCCGGAGCTTGGAGTTGGCCGTTATGTTGACATCGCTCTTGTAGAAAGTCACCATGGGACACGGGTTCCCAAGGAAGGTGCAAGTTATGGTGCAGTCCTGGTCACAGAGCACCTTGTGCGGCTTGAGCGGGGTCAGGAAGCCTGGTGCATGATGCCAGTCCTTCCGTTCATGGGGCTTCAGGTGCTGGACTACATGGGCAGGGCGGGGTGGGCAGTGAATGCACCTGAAGGCCCCACCCGCCATTGCATCTCAGAGCTTGGACGGTGCCCTGGGGGCCTCTCGGTGACCTGGGCCAGATTCCAGGGTGCCATCAACTCTAAGAGCTGCTTCCGCCCTTGTCCCTCTCCCGGTTTCATGACCTAAGGTTTGAAGAATTCCACTTTTCCCACCCCAGAGGTCCTAGATGGATTTCTTTCCAGTGCCAGTATCCCATACCCAGGTGTCCAACTGTCACCCTGTCACCCCCTCCAAGTCGCTCATAAGTCATTTCAGCTTCCATGGACCACAGGTCTCCTCTTTAACCCTCGCTCTCCACCATCACCCCCACCCACAAAGCCCTCCCCGTCATCCATCTTAGTCTCATACCTCAAACTACCAGAAAGTTACTGTCTCCAATACCCACGTCTCTTGCCGGTGTCAATGGTTCTCTGATTTTATCTTACCTCTTGGATACCCCTTGTGACCCATGTGTCATCCCTACCATCAGGGCTCCCTGACTCACTTGGTCTCATTGACAAGCCATGTACCCTTGGAGTCCAGTGGGTCGCTGTCACCAATTTCATTGAGTCACCACCCTAAAGTAATACTTCCTGCCTGGGAGCAACCCTGTCACGGGGCACTTGTTGCCACAGTGGACCAGGGGCAGGGCTTGGATCCTACTTCATGATGACGCAGTGGGCTCTCCATCCTGCACGTTGGGGCTGTGGTTCCAGGTCAGAGTCACCATGTTGGGAACCTCCTCAAACAACTGTAGGTGTGTAGGGGCTGTGAGAAATCTGGAGCAGCAGGAAGGTCCGTCAGGAACGCTGGTGGGGCCTAAAGTATTGTGTCACCACCCCAGCCACCTGCCGAGGCTGATGGAAGAGGAAGCAGGACACACCTTTCTTTGCGTCTCAGGCAGGTGGTGCCACTCCGCCACTTACTATCCTGTTAACCTTGGGCAACTAAGTTACCTTTCCTGAGATCCATTATCCCACTTGCAAAATAGGGCTAACAATGGGTATGTTTTTAATAGGAATATAAAGTGCCTGGCATAGAGCTCTAAGTTCATCCTTGCCTTGGAGTTTTGAAGCTCTGTGATGAAGTTTGCAGAGGTCACCTCAGTTAAGGAATTCGTTTCCACCTACCCCTCCTACTCCTTACCCATTTTCTACTCTCTCTGCTAACCAAACTCTGCCTATGCTCCAAAGCCCAGCAGCTGTGACAGCAAAAACTAAAACAAGGGTTTTGTCCTAGTTCAGTGCCTGCAGGGCTTCTGGGCTTTGAGAAAAAGCGGGGAAACAACCCTCCCCCCAGGCTGACTGGTAAAAGGAACTCAGGCAGCTGTGAGAGCTACATTTTGGAGAACATGCAGGGATACCTCCCAGAAGCCTCTGTCCACCATCTATAACTGTCACGTGCACATGGACATTGTAGCATGCCTCTACAAACTCATTCTGGAGCAAGATTTGATAGCCACCCAAGTCAGAGCATGTGGTGCTGTTGAGGAGGAATTAGGAGTGGCTTTAGCCCTTGGTGATAGTTTCTTCCCCTTGGTAGGGATGCCATCTTGCTACCAGAGCATGTGGAGGGGTGGTTATCCCTGGGTGGTGGTAGCAGATGGCATCGTTGGTCCTCCAGGACCATGTGGAGGGAGGCTCCTCTCCAATTGATAAGAAGTCTCCTGCCAGGTCCTGTGTCCAGGGTCTGGAGAGGGGCGCAGCCAGAGGCAGAGACCGCCATGCCTACAGTAGACATCTTGGGTGTGTGGAGGTCACTTGGGAGCCAGGGTCAAGAGCAACTCACAGAGAAGGCTGCGCAGATGCAGAGGGCTGTCCCATCGTGAGCCACCACATGACTCTTCATTCAGGCACTGAGGTCAAACTTGGGGGCCGCGGAGACAGAGGAGACAGAGTAGGGGCATGGCACTCTCTCAAGAAGACTCAGCTTTAAGCCTCCCCTCCAAAGTCTTTCCCAACTTTTCCTTTTCATAACGCTTCTATTGGCTATACAGACATTTAGCTGTCCTGTAACACCGTGAAAACACTGATTTTCCCATCTGTCTCCTTCTGTTAGCGTGTAAGATCCCTAACACTTCCCTTAGCACACAGTGGATACTGTTTGGCACACAATATTTTTTTTTTAAAGTAGGAGAGCCCCTGTGGTTATGTCTAGCTTTGTCCAGGCACAAGTATGAATGATGTTTCCTTGATCATAGCATCACCCAGTTTCCCCCAGTGCAAACAGGAAGGTTTGGAGCTGTAATGTTGGGCCCGAACCCCCAACCCTCTGTGTGTCCTCACCAGGTGGTGCCATGGCACGGACCCCCTTGTCCAGCTCCATGGGGCCTCCAACCCAGCCTCCTTCACAGCCCAGATTTGAAAGACATCTCAGTGAGGCCTCCCACTGTGTAGCAGGTGCCTGAGCTGGGGATCTTTGCACACTTAGATCATTCCTTGCTGTCTTCAGTCCACATCTCAAGGATGTAGCTGGGGGGTGGGAGTCTCCCTCTACAGGCACCTGCCAGGCCAAAGAGATGTGCAGACCTTGCACCAGGCCTGGGGGTTCTGGGGTTGCACAGACAACTAGTCAATCCCCAAACTCATCCCCAATGAACACCAAGCCCATTTCCCACCTCCTGAACCCTAATGTTCACCGCTTCTGCCTTTGACTCCCCCAGTGGACACTGTCAGTTCCCAACCTCACCCATTCAACAGCCTCCAAATTCAGGACTCCTACTGACTCGGCACTTTTACCCTTAAAGTCAATATCCTCTAACTCCAACATACCCTGCACATCCAAACCTTAAACCAGTCATCTTCACCACATCCATTTATAGGTAGCAACCCTGCCTCACCTCGTAAACTCAACACCCTCCCCACCATCTACCCAATACCCCTACTCAGTCTTCTGCATGTCTCTACTACCTTTTTTTTTTTTTTTGACAGGCAGAATTAGTGAGCGAGCGAGCGAGAGAAAGGTCTTCCTTTTCCATTGGTTCACCCCCTAAATGGCTGCTACGTCTGGTGTGCTGTGGCTGGTGCGCTGTGCAAATCCGAAGCCAGGAGCCAGGTGCTTCCTCCTGGTCTCCCATGCGGGTGCAGGGCCCAAGCACTTGGGTCATCCTCTACTGCCTTCCTGGGCCACAGCAGAGAGCTGGACTGGAAGAGGAGCAACCGGGACAGAATCTGGCGCCCCGACCGGGACTAGAACCGGGGTGCAGGTGCCGCAGGTGGAGGATTAGCCTAGTGAGCTGTGGCCCAGGCCTCTACTACCTTATCTAACCAGAAGTACTGAAAGCTTCGCAAGAACTTGACCCCACCCTGTCTCCTGGCTGTCCCTGACTCTGCGTCTTTATTTGCTGTTTTTATCTTGGGTGTGAATCTTGGCCGTCTGGGAGGCTGGCAGCCTTTGGAGAGCGTAGACTATGGGATCACTCTGGAGACTATGGGATCACTCTCATCAGACTCTCCTCAGGAAGACATTCTCTTTCCACTCTGAATGGGCTAATTCCACTCTGTTGGGGCCTGGCAGTCCCATACTTACTAACAGGAATGTTGGCTACCACTGAGCTGAATGGCACACTGGGCTGTGCAGGGCCTGCCGTATGCACAGCTGTCATTCAAAATTCACATTCTGTGTCCTCCAGGAGACCATCTGCAGTACACTTGGTGCCTGAGTTAGGAAGGGGACATGAGGCCAGGGTCGTCCTAGAGGTAAGAGATGGAAAAGTGAGAAACCATAGAAGAGGAGGTCATAGGATGGTGTTTACCTCCCAAAGAGCTGAGAGTTGCAGGGGGTCCACTCAGCAAGAACCCCTGGGGTCCCTCCTGGGCATCTGTCCTAGGACCTCACCCCAGATGGGGTCCTAGTTGGCTGGCACCCACAGCTTATCACCTTTATTCTGTGCCCCACAGTGTAACCGAGCACTGGGCCCTGTCCTGGGTGGGGACATTCCATATGACAGTCACTGTTTCTTAGGTCACATCAGTCACCTGAGGCTGGGAAGCAAGACCAAGGGGCTCTGTAGGGCGCAGAGAGAGGGCAAAGGTTAGGAGGGGCCACACAGACAATTGCCTACCTCATGCTAACCTCTGGCCTTCCCTTAAAAATATCTGAAACCAACGATTCTTAAAGTGAGGAATAAAAAAAAAATCACTAAAGCTAAGTATCACTAGCAACTTATGCCTGAGTGTTCTCCCCAGGTATTCTAATTTAATTGGGTTGGGGTAGAGGGCAAGTATTAGCCTTTTTTTTTTTAAGAGTTATTTATTTATTTGAAAGAGTTACACAGAGAGAGGAGAGGCAGAGAGAGAGGTTCTCCATCCGATGGCTCACTCCCCAGTTGGCCGTAATGGCCAGAGCTGTGCTGATCCGAAGCCAGGAGCCAGGAGCCAGGAGCTTCTTCCGGGTCTCCCATGTGGGTGCTTTCCCAGGCCACAGCAGAGAGTTGGATTGGAAATGGAGCAGCCGGGTCTTGAGCTGGCGCCTGTGTGGGATGCCGGCGCTTCAGGCCAAGGCATTAATCTGCTGCGCCACAGCGCTGGCCCCGAGGTATTAGCCTTTTTTAAGGACCCCAGGTGATTTTAATATGTAGCCAAAAGTGAGAATCACCAGCTTAAACCTGTGTGACCCTTAACTCCCCAAAGCTTAGAGTACTGTCTCGACACACTGAGATAAGGGAATGCACACTTGGGAGGTGTGTAGCAAGTAATTAATTAGAAGTCATAATTAAAATGCCAGTGCCTGACGGGTTTTCTTTGAGAAAAGAATAGAGTGGTTTTAAGGTCCCTAAAGTAACACGTGTCACTTGGGTTCCAGATGATTTCTGGGATGGAGAAAGAAGTGGAGTGGGTGCCCTGGAATTGGCGCACGTTCTGGGCACATCCAGAGGGTTCCTGGTCCTGTGATCGGACAGGAAAAGTTGAGCAAGAAGTGGTGTGGGGACCAGCCTGTCTCGTGGGGTTGGCTGGAGGTGATCCTGTGGAAGTCCCACAGACCAGCCTCTGAGCCCTGTGTGCTGCCCTAGCACCAGGCCCCCTCACTGACCTTGTCAGTTTCCAGCGGTCACTCACACCTTCCAAATTGACTGCCACCACACGGAACCGGTCGGCTGGTCCCTCTGCGATCTTGGTGGTAGAGGAGTTGGTGACTTGCCATTCACCTCGCGCCTCCCAATCCAGGACTTCTTGCTGACTGCTGTCTGATCCACTCTGGAACGTGCCACAGGGCACCTGCTGTTGTCCTTTGGGGCCTTCCACTTCATGTGCACACGGTTACCTGAGAGCCTCAGTGACTCCGCTGGGCCCTGCAGAGCCGTGGCGAGGCCTGGGGACAGAGAACAGCTGCAGGACGTGGCTTCGGAGCAAAGGCACAGAATGGTCTCCTCCCACTCACAGGAGGGCTGGCCTGCCTGGGGCTCAGATGGAGTCTGGGCTCCTGGGCTCCCGGGCTCCCTTGCCCTTCCCTGTGTCCATCCCCCCTCTCCAGGACTCATCTGAAGAACTGGATCCTTGGCACCTGGAGCCTCCTGCCAGTGGAGGAATGGGTGGGTTGGAGACCTGGGGGCTGCTTGCTTTAGCTGACTCCCTTGTCCCCTTCCACACAAGTTCCCCTCCTCTGAGCGCTCCCTATACCAGGGACATCTGCTCGCACAGTTTGGCTTATGTCATGATTACACATGGGTCTCCCAGTCCCCGCTCTGCCGGCTTCTTCACTCCTGCACCCCCAGCACTGAGAGCACAGAGGAGGTGCACAGTCATGCACCAAATTGAACTGAAACCGAACTCTTCCCACCCCACAGCTCGGTGTAAATGCAGGGGCAAGAGGTGGTTATGGTGGGTGCACTGGATGTCAACCACGTGCTCACGAAGGCCAGTCCCTCATTTCTTTCCTTATCCTGATGTTTGGATCCATCCCAAGTCCCTTTCCCACCTTTCTCTCCCTCCTTTTCTCTCCCATCTTATTTTATCCTCAACACTATCTTCCCTCCATCCCACTCCATTTCACTTGCATTCTCACTACTCTCCCAACCAACCTCACCTCCATCCCTAAATCTCACCTCTTCCCCACCTTCTTTCCACCTAACCTCCAACCACGTCCTCATCTTCAAGGCCACAACAATGCTTAGGTAACACATTTGAAGGTCAATGTGTGCTATGTTCTTGGCTATATACTTTAGAGTCACTAGCAATATATACCAGGAAAGAACCCCACCCTGTTCCAGGTGGGAGAAAATGAGGCTTGGAGAGACTCACGTGAGTGAGGCCACTTAGGAATTTAGGAAGTGGGCTTCTGGCTACAAAGCCAGCAATCCAACCCCATCCTCAGCCTGAACTCCAACTGTCTGTCTGCTCCTCCCCACCAAGCCGGCCTCTACCCTGAACCTGCTGCCGTCACTCAGCCCAGCCCCCACCCTCACTCAGCACACTCAGCTGCAGAGTGGCAGTGGCTGAGCTGTGGTCATTCTTGAGCTCCAGCAGGACGAGGCCTCTGTCTTCCCTTATGCGATGGTGAGCGGCACCTGGTCCTCCCTGGGTTCTGAGGACACCTGTTCCTCCTCTGTCACCTCTGTGCCATCCTGTGCTATGTCACCTCGGGCAATGGCTTCACCCAGAATGCTACCTTGCTGTGGGCAGTGTGGCTCACCTTCACGGCCAGGGGTGCATGGCCAGAGCCTCCAGTACTGATGGGTGGACGGTAGGAGGATTTGTAGAGGGAAGGCTTGCCCCTTGCGGATGGAGGAGGAGCTAGGAGCATGAGGGCAGGCCAGACTTGCCTAAGCTTAGTGTACAGCAGACTACCTGCAGTGAATGCCAAGGCTTTGCTCTGAATGCCCTTGGCCAGGAATGTGCACTTGCCCTTTTACTCCAGGCCCATATCAGGGATGACCTTGAGCACTGCACCCTGCTTCCCAATCTACACGCCTGGCAAGTCCGTGATCTGGGGGACAAGGGACAGGTATGAGTGCGAGCATGGACCAGGTGTACCTCGTCTGCCCCTTCCTGGCGGCCCCCGCCTCAGACCTCCTTGCCACATGCCACACGCCCTCCGCCTTCTCATCGTTCAGCACCATGCACAACTCGGCTCTTTGTGGACTCCCTGTGGCTGTGTGCATGTTGGAATCCCACTCTTCACGGTGGCCAGATGTTCTGCAGGGAAAAGGGACCATGAGCCAGATCAGGGTGTTGGGATGGAAGGGGGACTCATGAACAAAGGGGCAGTGGTAACGGTCGTGGGAACACTCGGAGTGGCACGTCAATCAAAATCACATAATGAGCAAGTAGTTTGGCAATGGTCAGTAGATGACTGGGGGATGGCCGGGGGGTGGGGGGACTGGAGGGAGCAGGTGGAGAGGGGGTTGGAGCAGGGCCAATGGCTGGGAGAATGGCAAACAGGAAGACTGGGAGATGGTGAATGTGAATGGTGAGTCGGTTAGTGGAGGACATCAGCAGGGACTTAGGATGCTCGACTGAAGACACACAGATGGTAGATGAGCCAGTGGTTAGTGGAGCTGAGATGTTTAGTTGTGGTTGTGTTGCTCTGTGAGATGCCCAGTCACTGGGGTGGAGGGTAGTCAGGGTTGGTGGGCAGTGGTTATGGTTGGGCAGTAGGGAATGGTCAGGATCAAGAAGCTTGGGATGAAGGGATGGCACTGTGGTGTAGCACGTAAAGCTGCTGCCTGCAGTGCTGGCATTCCATTTGGTTTGAGTCCTGGCTGCTCCACTTCCAATCCAGCTCTCGGCTAATGGGCCTGGGAATGCAGCAGAAGATAGCCCAAGTGCTTGGGCCCCTGCACTTATGTGGGAGACCTGGATGAAGCTTCTGGTTCCTGGATTTGGATCAGCCCAGCTCGGGCCATTGTGGCCATTTGAAGAGTGAACTAGTGGATGGAAGGCCTCTCTCTCTGTTTCTCCATCTCTCTTAATTCTGCCTTTTAAATAAATAAATCAATATAAAAAAGTTTGGGATGATCAGCTGGCTGGGGATGGTCAGAATGTGGAAGGAAAGGAGGAAGTCAGGGAGTTTGGAGAGCCTGGAAGGTGGGGGATGATGAGGGTCTAGGAAGCGTGGATGCTCAGTGCATGGAGGGCTGGAGATGCTCAGCATTTGGGAGATGGGGAGGTTTACATTGGTCGTGGTCTGGGGGACGGTTGGAGACAGTAAGGGGGCAGATCAGTGTCTGCTGCAGGGGAAAGCCTGGGTCGGGGATGGGTCAGTGGGGAGCGGCAGGAGGGACCCTCCACACTCAGGGTGCAGTACTGCTGTATTCACTGGGTGCCCCATCCACGGTGTCCTCGCCGCCATCGCTGAGCGGTGCATTGTCCATGGCCAGCTCTGCTCGCTTGCCCTCGTGGCTCGTGCTGTACTTGCCCTGTGTGCCAGCAGCTGCCTGTCTTTCTTGCAATGAGTGTCACATCCCTGGGCGTCAGCTCACACTCGCACCATGCATGGCTCTCTTCTTTCACACGTGCATTTGGCAGGGCGCTCACAAATTTGATGGGGATGCCTGTGAACAGAAGGACAAGCACCTGGGCCTGCTCCTAAACCCTGGGACCCCTTCTCTGTGGCAGCACACTACTCTGCCCCATTTTGGCTGTCGAAAACACAAGAACTTGTGGTTCGAGTGCAACAGGTGACCCCCAGGGGTGCCTGACGGTGAGAGTCCCAGCCCTGCCCCTTGCTTGCCAGGTGACTGGACGTGACTCACTCACCTCTGCGAGTCTCCGTCTCCTTCCACGTGAAACAGGACAGCAGCTTCCACAGAACCACAGTCCAGGTCTGTAACTGGAGCCCTGGCCATAGCTGCCTTGTCTCTCTGAGAGCTGGGTCTCTGCACATGCTGTTCCTTCTGCCAGGAATGCTCTGTCCTCACTGTTTCTCTGAAAGCTGGGTTCCTTTTTGTTCTTGGTAAAGTTCAGACATCACCTTACCCTATATCTGACATCGCCAAGTGGTGCCCCTTCCTTGGGTTCCCACAGCCTCTCTGGCTGCCTCCATCACAGCGGTGATGGCTCCAAGAGCCATGGATCCCAGGGGTGGCTCACACAGGCAACACGGTCATTGCTGTTCTCCCGTGACGTAAAACCCCGAACCAGTTACAGTGGCAGACGTACTGTAATCCACGACATCAGAGCCATCAAGGCTGATCACTTCTTGGTCTGCAGTCTCTCAGTCAATCATAAAACTGCAGTGTGCCTTGACTGCTGCCCAGGAGCTGCTATTCCAGCTCCATTTTCATCTTTGCCTCCCCTACTGGATGAGGAATACCCATTGCACTGCCTTGCAGAGAGATGTGTGGGTGGATGAATGGATAACCACCCCCGTGGGGGACCCCTCAGGTCCTTGTCCAGTCACTCATGTTCACTAGGAAGCTGAGCCTAAGCCGGCCACTATCACAGACTCCGGCATCCCTCATCTTAGGCGTGGGGCACAGCCCATCATTTCATATTTGTAGCCCCTCTTCAGCTCCTGTCCACTGAACCTCCACTCAAAGTTAGGCTCCTTCTTGGAGAGACAGCTGTCAGATATGGCTGGCTGGCGCTCTGTCACCTTCGGCGGCTTCATCTCCCTGCAAGCTCAGTGGTTCACCTGCAGCAGACAGAGGAGGGGCAGTCCCTGGGCTGCAGCCCTGGCCCCTCCTGAGGAGTGGGGTGGTGCAGGGTGGGACACTTAATGTGGCGCTGGCCACCTTCTGCCAGCAGTTGGAGGAAGGCACTATTTCTTTGATTCCACTTGCAAACTCTTCCCTGGTATCCCCTTCCATGGTATTCACATGGTCTCTTCCCCAGGAATGGTAAAAACAGATACCCCCCCCCCCAACAGTTTTAGATATCAACCAGCACTATTTTTGCCAATTTGGATATATTAATTCACCGAACTCTTGTATAGGCAGATTCTATTGGTTCCCATTTTATAGTTGGGGAAACTGAGGTCCTAAGTCGCACAGCTCATACTGAGCTGAGATCTGACCTTAGTAGTCTAGTTGCAGAGTCTGTGTGCTTTTTACAAAAGCGTTCTTTCTTTTAACATTTATTTATTTATTTTCATTTTTACTTGAGAGAGAGGGAGGGAGATAGGGAGAGGGAGGGGGAGAGAGAGACAGACACTGACTTGGAGAGAGAGCTTCTCTCTGATGGTTCACACCTCAAAAGCCCACAATAGCCAGGGATGGCCAGGCCACAGGCAGGAGCCTGGAACTCGGTCCAGGTCTCCTGTATGTGTGGCAGGACTCAAGTACATGGGCCTTCATCTGCTGCCTCCTAGGGTGTGAATTAACAGGAAGCTGGATCAGAAGCAGAGTAGTGGGACTTGAACCAGGCACTCCAGTATGGGATGCAGGCGTCCCATGTGGTTACTAATCACCGCCCCTTCACGCTCAGCCATTATACTACACTGCTCCATGGTACCGATTACCCCATAGCTCTCTCCCTTACATCTCATTTTCTTCCTCCTCCCCATTCCTCTCTCTGATATCCACCTAGACCCTAACCCTGCCCATGCCTCTCCCCAACCCTGATATGTCCACCTTGTGCCCGAGATGTCCACACTCATACCGGGCACTGTGAGCTGCACCACGCTCATCCTCTCCTTGCCCAGCTGTGCTGCAGGTGCCAGAGTCACTCAAGCTAAGGTGGTAATAACCAGCAGGTACTTGGTGCTCATCTGCTGCATGTCGTACCTGCCCAGGGAGTCCCGGGTCCCCAGTGGCTCAGTATCCTGCCTTATGGAACAGGCAAGAGACTGATGAAGGGATTTAGGAGGACACTGTAGACCTCCCCACTGCCCAAAGCCAGCCTGAGCTGGAGGGTGCATAGTCTTCACTCTAAACATACCCGGAGGCTCCTACAGTCTCTCTAGCCTCCTCATCTGCTTGCTGGGGTCCAGGTCCCCGGCTCCCCCACAAGGCCGAAGTCCTAAGTGTGCATGAGTTCATCAGGTGCTTTCAGGACTGTCCAATGCAGCCTTCCAGTGTAAAGATGGATAGACTGAAGTGGAGAAGGAGGAAGGTGACTGTCTCAGATCACAAACAAAGAGGCGGAACAGCTAAGAGCAGAGCCCAGACCCAAGCCTCCTTCAGCCACCCCAGAAGCCCTCCTCTTGATGGGTGCAAGAAAGGCAATGGCTTGTGGATAATGCGGGGGTCTGAGAGTGGAGGAAGTACAGAGAGGAAATGACACTGCCAGGTTGGGCCCCAGCTCGGTGTCCCCGTCCACCTTGATCTGAGTCAGCTTGACATTGGGTCCTTCAGCTCCATGATGCAGTCAAGGGCTACTGTCGTGTCAGTCCTGCTCTCTGTCTTCCAGGAGCTCAGAATCTGGATGGGCTGAGGTTGTGATAACAAACTGGCACATGTCAGGGCGTCCATAGCCTGCCCAGGCTGGCTCCATAATCCTGGGGGAGACCTGGGGTGGACCCTTCCCCACTGATCAACTGGGAGATTTAGGACAGGAATAGCATGGGAGGTAAGAAAAAAGCCCCCATTTGTGGAACAGGTACTAGGTACCTGGGCTAATCATACAGATTCTGTACTTCTAGGGAGATACTTAATATGAATTGGTTGAGTGAATGAATGAAAGATACATAAAAACAAATGCAAGTGGAAAGTATGATTTACATTTTAGAGATGAGGAACCAAGCTTAGAGGGAGATCCAAGGTCACATAACTAATGAGGTAGAAGAACTGTAGGCCTCCCAACTCCCAGGTCTGTGTGACCCCAAGGGCTGTAAGAACATTAGTGACAGGTGAAGAGAGGAGAGGTGGAAGGAAGGTGACTTGGGTTCCTTTCTCTCTTACTCAGTAAAAAGTTTGCCTCGGAGTGTGTGTGTAGGGGAGGGAGACCTTGTGCCAGGACACGCAGGCCCTGGATCCTGCCCCTGCTAGGCATGACTTCCACTTCTGCTCTCTTCTTCAGACCTGTGAGCTTAGTGAGTGACTCCGAGAAGCCAGTGAAATCATGTTCCCTGCAAACCTTCTCCAAGTCCTTCATGGGCACCTTGGACAAAGTCTCCAGCATCTCTTTCTGGTCTGTTAGCTCTTGTCTCTTCTTGGCAGCAGGGGAAGCCCTGGAAGAAGGAGGGGATTGGGCTTGCATTCAGCGCCTCCTCTGAAGACAGAGGGAGCCTGTCTCCCAGCCTTGAGATGCGCTTCCTCCGGGCATGGATTCTAAGGGTTCAGGGTTCTGTGGAGTGAAGGACCCGCGGCAGAGGGTCCTCCCAGCCTCACCTCTTCTTCAACATCTTTTTGAAATCCATTTCTTAAAAGATTTATTTATTTATTTGAAAGTCAGAGTTACACAGAGAGAGAAGGAGAGGCAGATATATATATATATAAAGTATATATGTATACATATATATATTTATATATATATAGAGAGAGGTCTTCCATACACTGGTTCAGTCCCCAATTGGCTGCAACAGCCGGAGCTGTGCTGATCTGAAGCCAGGAGCCAGGAGCTTCTTCTGGGTCTCCCACGTGGGTGCAGGGGCCCAAGCACTTGGGGACATCTTCTACTGCTTTCCCAGGCCATAGCAGAGAGCTGGATCAGAAGAGGAGCAGCCAGGACTCGAACCGGATCCCCATATGGGATGCTGGTGCTTCAGGCCAGGGCGTTAACCCGCTGCGCCACAGCGCCAGCCCCCATTTTTTTTCTTGACCTGAGGACAGACAGAGGGAGTCTGGTCCTTGAGTGAAAAGGCTAAGAGGAGGGGGCTGGCTCACCCTCCGCCACCAGCAAGGACACCGTGTACATGGCCTGTGCATCTTCCTTGCTTGCAATGCACTTGTAGCTGTCAGAGTCATCCGAGGCCGGTGGTTCCAGCTGGACCAGAGGCAGGCCATGGGCGTGGGAGACGGAGGGAGCCACAGAGACTTTGTGAGAGATGGGCGGAGGGCTTTTGTTGTGGGTGGGGGTGCTGTGGTGGTGGTGGTGGGCTCCGTGTTGGCTGTATGTGTGGTGACTGAGCAGCCTCCATGACTTGGTTATAACTGCCGTGTGCGTATTATGTGTGTTTGCATCCTGATTGCGAGGCAGTAATATCCGCTCCTCCTCTGACTCTCCCCCTTGGCTGTGAGCTCCTAGAAGGCAGGGGCTTCCTGATCTGTAACTCCCGCCTGCAGTTCCTGGCACTGGGCTGTTTCTTCCTTTAATACAACTTACCCCTCTGTCCCAGGCGCTGCACTGAGCTCCACAGGAAACGGTGGTGAATAAAGTAGACTTGGTGCCTGTGTGCACGGCCCTTGCCAGCCGGCGGGGCGCTTGGAAAGTGCTTGCGGAAAAATGAGCTTGAGTGAGCGGTGGCCACTAGGGGACCCCTGGGGGTGAGGGTCCAGTGGTGATGGGTCTTTGGGAAGGGAAGGAAGCAACTTCTGGCTGTGGGGGATGGCGGGGAGACCTTTGCCTTTCCCAGCGGGAAGTCGGAGCAGGACCCGGGCAATTATAGGGACAGGAGTAATTACAGGCTTGGGGCGGTTGCTGCTGCCCAGGCCACTTCTCTGGAAGTGACTCAGACGCTGGTTAGACCCAACCATGATGGCGACTGGCAAGACTTCTGGAGAGCGCCCCTGACCCTATGAGCTCTGTGACCGGGGCCGGCGCTCTGGCACAACTCGGCCCCGCCCCAACGCGTTCGTCTGGTCTCGCTAGCCTCGCTCAACCCCGGCCCCGCCCTCGTCTCTGCGACCCCGCCCTCAATTCGAGTCGCCTTCGCACTCTCTGCTCCTTCCGCCTCTCTGCTCCTGCCACGCCCCCAGGGCACCGAAGGCCGGGTTCTCGGTCAGCGGTGTGGCTGCCTCCCCCGCACACCTGCAGGGCGTGCTCCCGGTTGATGCTGTCGTAGAGCATCGTGGCGGACTCCTCCTCCTCCTGGAGACGCTGCATTGGATCCCCTGGCCCTGGGCTCGGAACACGGCTTTGTCTCCGCGGTGAGCACGGGCTCACCTCTTGGCCTCCAGGCTGGCCGCTCTGCCTGCTCCATGTCTCCTCCCCGCCCCGGGCAGGGTAAGGGGCCCTAGGCCTTGCAGGGCGTTCGGGTGGGGCCTGGGACACCCGGGGAGCCACGTACCTTGGGCGCGGTGAGCGACTGCGACTTCTCCGCGAACTCGGGAACGCTCCGGCCCCGCAGGAGTGTCGGAGCTCAGGGCCGCAAGCTGAAGAACACCGTATCGCCGGTTCCTCTGTGGGGCGATGGAAGTCAGAATGGGCTCCAGGTCGGCGCGCAGCCCGGGGGTGGGGGACACGAGGGAGCCAGCTCGGTTTAAGGTTCGTTCACAGGGGCAGGGCCGGCTCTGGCCGGGAACCAACCTCAGCGCTGGTGCGTCGTTGTGTCATGGCAAGCCTCAACCACCGGGGGACGCCAACTCGTGTCCTCCTTGGTCAAATCACCTTAATTGGGTCAGGGCCCTGGGGTTCCTACCTTTTTGTTTTTCTTCGTTTAGAAAGAACGACACTTTCCTTTAGGGATTTTCTTGATCTCCTGGACTTCTTTCCTAGAAGTCGTGGTCCCCCAGGAGCATGAAGAGGGCCTGGCTTGGCCCTGCTTTGGGGAGGTTTGTACTTAGATCTCTGCTTTGGGGTGGCTCCCACTCCCTGGGGTGGGAGCTTTTACATGTGGGAATCTCCTTATCTGAAAGAGCATATCCAATGTGAGAATACGATTTTCTGTTTGGAAAACAGAAACCTGTTTTTGCAGCATAAATTAGGAGAATCTTCCTGGCTGGCGGGTTACCAGTGAACGGGAGTTGCTCCAATGCATGGTCTGGGGCTGTGCTAGGCTCCTGTCAGAGAGAATTTTATTTAATGCTCACGGCAACCCGCTGAAGTAGGTGCCTCTGTTACTTCCGCTAGTCTGAGGCAGTGAGATGGGGAGAAAATGTGGTAAGACGGCCTCACGGCCTGCTTTTCTTTTCTTTCTTTCTTTTTAAAGATTTATCTATTTATTTGAAAGTCAGAGTTACACAGAGATAGGAGAGACAGAGAGAGAGGTCTTCCATCTGCTGGTTCACTCCCCAGATGGTCGCAATGGCCGGAACTATGCCGAACCGAAGCCAGGAGCCAGGGGCTTCTTCTGGGTCTCCCACGTGGGTGCAGGGGCCCAAGGACTTGGGCCATCTTCTACTGCTTTCCCAGGCCATAGCAGAGAGCTGGATCGGAAGTGGAGCAGCTGGGACTAGAACCGGTGCCCATATGGGATGCCGGCGCTTCAGGCCAGGGTGTTAACCCGCTGTGCCACAGCGCTGGCTGCAATGGCTTGCTTTTCAATAGTAGCCAGAGCTCTGGTCTCCAGCAGGTAGTGTGCAGGCTGCTCTCGGCCTGCAGATGTCTTTTACTGGTCTATACGATTTTACAGGAAAGAAGGTAGAGCTACATGTGAAAGTGGAAAGATGTCACGTAAAAATCCAGATTTCTGTATTCTCAACCCTGGGCTCATTCCCATTTGGTGTCAGCGGCTGCCCCTTTGGGATGGGCTACACCCTCTCCAGCCCACCTCAGTCTTTACATTCCCTGACTGGACCTGCTGCTCAGTGGTGTTCAGCTCTGGTTGCACATTAGACTCCCTGGACAGCTTTAAAAAAATACCTAGTTCAATGGTCTGGGTGAGACTCGGGCATCACCATCCTCCCAATCCCCATCTTACTCTGAGATACAATGATTCTAAACCATAGCTGGGGCCCAGAGCCAGTGCTATAGATCACTCGAGGCTGCGGCTTCCGGTCTAGATCATGACCTTGAGTTGCAGCTCTCCCACCTGCTCTGCCTCACTGGCCAGGAGTGGTGGGTCCCGAGTGTTTATCTGGCCTCGACCTTGTGCACAGAGAACTTTGAGGCACTGTCCCTCTGGGATCTGCGGGAAGGACTGGTCAGTATCCTGTCCGGAGGTCGCCTTTGAATCACTTTCCTCTAGAGACATGGTTGGAACAGCATGCTCTGTTTCTCAGCTTTCCCTTGGATCTGCCCTCCCTCAAGGCGGGCCCCAGGGGATGAGAGTATGGGAGCTTAGGTCGCTTGTTTGTGGGTTCATCCTGTCTCCACTGGCAGCCCAAGTTGCCTGTTTCTGAAGCTGGAGCAGGGCGTGCATTACTCAGTGTGTGCACAAGGTGGCTGTCCGCCTCCCTGCCCACGCCCCAAACTCCAGCACCGGAGATACAGTCCGTTGGCCTCTGGCTCTCAGCTCCTTAAGCAAATGAAGAGTTTCTCAATGCTTACACATGTGAGTGATTTTTCCTCATCTGCCTTCACAGCCTGCTGGCTAAAGCTTTATCAAGTCCCAGATCGGAAGCGCAGGTTGCGAGGGGTTGCTGTTGCTTCTGCAGGCACCTGGGGCGCCCATTCCATGTAGCCCGTTGGAGGCCACTGAGGGGTGGACAATCAGGAGGAAAGGCGGTCCCTTCCCAAGTCCTCCCTCCACGTCCACTCGCGCTTGTCTGGGAGGAGGGCTGCACAGGGGTGGTGGCCGGGAGAGCTCCGTGGACACGTGCTCTTGCATCAGCTCCTGGCACTGCATGGTCTTCGTGGGGGCAGCAGGCATGGGCACTCACCTGCGAGGGCCAGGGAGAGCCTGGGTGCCTGAAAGACAAGAGTGGGGGGGAGTCCAGGGCTGTGCATATGTGTGTGTGTGTGTCAGACTGTGTGTGTGCTTGTGGACTTGGCAGATTGTGTGTGTGTGTGGACATGCAGATTGTGTGTTATGTGTGTGTGGACATGCAGATTGTATGTGTGTGTGTGGACATGGCAGATTGTGTGCGTGGACATGGTACATCATGTGTGTGTGTACATGGATATGGCATATCATGTGTATGTGTGTGTGTGGATGTGGCAGATTGTGCATGTATGTGTGTGTACATGGCAGATTGTGTGTGTGTATGTGTATGTGTGTGGACATGGAAGATTGTGTGTGTGTGCATGTGTATGGACTTGGCATATCATGTGTGTGTGTGCATGTGGACATGGAAGATTGTGTGTACGTGGACATGGTAGATCATGTGTGTGTGGACAAGGCATATCGTGTGTATGTGTGGATGTGGAGATTGTATGTGTGTGCATGGACATATCATGTGTATGTGTGTGTGGACATGGCATTTCATGTGTATGTGTGTATGTGTGTGGACATGGCAGATTGTGTGTATGTGTGTGTTGACATGGCAGATTGTATATAGTGTGTGTGTGTGTGTGTGTGGACATGGCAGATTGTGTGTGTGTGTGTGTGTGTGTGTGGGCACAGCCGATCTGGTGTGCAGGACAGGACGAGCAGTGGGCAGGCGGCAAGCCCCTGTTCTCTGGCCTTGTATTCACTTCCATCTCCTTTTCCTTGGTTGGGTACGAGAACCAGTAGGCCAGCCCCTTTACGGAGTAACCCCACCCCACTCCGTGGAGAGTGAGTGCCTGGGCTGTAGGGTGGCGGCCTCCTTGCCGCGCCCTGACAGCGGGGCCACCAGGGGTCATGAGCTCCGTCAGTGCTAGGCCCCTCAGGCATGAGGCATGCAGAGTGGGGAAGCAAGCTGGATCCACAGGGCTGGAGAAGTGCTGGGGACCTGGCAGGGGCGTGGGTCGGGGAGGTTCAGGGGGACTTCTCCAGCTCTCTTGTGGTAGAAGTTTTGGTTCTCGCTGCTGCTGGGTGAGCCCACTCTGAGCTGGGGCTCAGGGTCATGTGTGTGTGTGTGTGTATGTGTGTTTGCACACGCATGCTCAGGCACATGTGCACGTGTGGACCAGCATGGCTCAGGAAGCAAAGCAACAGGTTTTCCAGGGACTGGGAGGGGGTCAGCTGAGGAGGGCCTAGGGGATCTGCCACTGCACAAACCCAGGGGGCGCCACTCACTCCACACTATGTGGAGCATGCACAGCCTGAGCCGCCTTACAGGGCCACCCTGGGGGAGGGGAGGAAAGTGCTGGCCCTCCCCCGCTTTCCCTCTCCGGTAGAGAGCCACCTCCCTCATCCCGGTGGAAAGGCCGCCATCCTCCTGGGGCGAGAGCTTTGGGAGGGGACTGGGGAGCGTGGCTGTTTCCTCCGGGACCTCCACCTGGGCTGCTTCAGCAGCTGTTCTCACCTCATCGTCGCAGCAGCCCCCACACGCCCGCCCGGCCCCTGACCAACCCATGTGGGGGGTCCAGTATTGCGTAAGGAGTGGCTGGTTCATCAGCAGCCCTGCCCTTGACCCTCTCCTGCTCTGAGGTTAAACCCTCCATCCCCTCCCAGCCAGCAGCGGCATCACGGTGACTTCTCTTCCATCCCAAAGGCAGGGAATGGGGACAGAATGGGAGTGTCCACGACAGGTGGAGCTGAGGGCACAGTCCCTGGGCCCCCTGGGAGGGACTCCTCTCAGCCCAGGCCACAATTGCTGTTGGGATCGAGGAGGCGGACCTGGGGATGAGTGGGCTGGCCAACAGGGAGGGGCCTGGGGGAGTATCTCTTTGCCCCCGCCTTGGCCTCTCTGTCCACCTGTTGGAGCCGTTCCACACCTGTCCCCAAGGCTTCTCGTGGCTCGGGCACCTGGCTGGGTGGGGCCAGAGGGTAAGGATTCTCCCGGAATGTACCTGACTTTGGTTTTGAGTTTGCACTCGCTCCATACCCACAACCACCCCTAGGGGCGCTGGCAAGTCTGAGGGCCAAGCTGTGTGCACCCAGGCGGGGCAGCAGGGACACAGGGACGCAGGAAGCAATCATACAGGCCCAGGGGGCGAGTTTTGCTCAAAATGCTCCGTTTATTGCTCTATTCAGTGACCACGAGCGAGTTATAAAAAGACACCAAATGTCTCGGTCTGCCGTGGAATAAATATTTAAGGTCAGCAATAAAAACAGGTGGCTCTAAGATAACACACGTTGCCAGAGTCATGCACGCCCTGCCGAGGGGCTCTCCACGGACGCACGGACACGGGGACGCGCAGAGCGGCACGCAGCGAGACTTCGGGGAAGGCTTTCCCACGTGGCACAGAACACGGCTCACTCACCCCACCCCCGGGGCACCCCCACCTCCCGGGCCTCATCCTGGGGTTGCCACCCCCACCTGTCCCTTGCCTCCTGAGAGCATCTGACGCCCAGAGGCCACCCTGGGATGCCCCCCCCCCCATCCCAACCCAGAGACCTCTTCCTTCAGGCAAGATCTCTCTGGAACTTCCCAGATCCCCAGGGACTACCCAAACCAGGTCCCAGTAACTGGGGGCAAAACAGTCTGCCTGCTGGGAGAAGTGGCTGTGAGGGGTGGGGGGCACACGGCAAGCCCCTGCATGGGCTGCCCGGGGTGGGGGGCTGGAGCTCATTGCCCCATCCCCTTTCCCGCACTTGGGAGACACAGTGTCCGGTACAGACAGCAGAGACGGAGACAGACAGGACACGCTGCGCAGGACACTCGGAGTGTGGTGCGGGGACGTTTGGGACCCAGCAGCGGTGGAACCGTCCTTAAAAACCGAGGCCCCGGGTCTGCGTGGTGTGCTCAGGCCCAGGGGCCCTAGGCCCGGCCTGGGACCTCCTCCCCCACCCTCCGCCCACTCCCCCGTATGTACAGTAGGAAGAGCTATGCTGGGGGTGGGCCGGGGGGGAGCAGACTGGAGACAGGGAAGCGGGCGGGGCAGGGGAGGAGGCCGAGGCGAGGTGGTTCCCCGAGGACCTTGGAGGAGGCTGTGCCGGTCACTCTGGGGGCTGGCGGGACAGCTGCTTCTCGTAGAGGCTCATGACATGGTGCACGAACTGGTACTGCTCGTAAGTCTGGATCATGCCGCCCCTGGCCGGCAGAAGGCACTGCGGCGGGGAGGGGGTCACCGGGAGGGTGCTCCTCCCCCACTTCGGCCCCCCCCCCCCCCCCGCCCCGAGGGCCTCACCCTTGTCTCCTTGTCAGGGACACAGATGCCACCACCCCCAGCCCCCGTCTGTCTACTCACCCAGACCTCTGCCCGCCAGCCCCACGCATGCCGCAGCTTCCCCCTGCTGCCCTGGGGGCCCCCGCCCGCGGGCTGACCTGTCCTGCCGCAGCTGGCATGTGGTCTTCAGGATGTCCACCACGCCTTCGCGCCGCAGCTGCTGGCAGCAGATGCTGGTAGCGATGAAGCAGCCGGTTCTCCCGATACCCGCGCTGAGGGCCAGGGGCACGGATGGGGTGAGCAGCAGGGCAACCCAGGGGCTGGGGGGTGGGAGGGGCTGCCCTGTCCCCGCGGGGCGCTGGAGGACCCACCTGCAGTGGACGACAATAGGGGCACAGCGCGGCCCCTCCTTCTGGGCTGCCTCCTCCACCTCTCGCACCAGGTGCAGCAGTGGAGGGGCCCGGTCTGGGGTCTTCTGGTCGGGCCAGGAAGTGAACCAGTAATGCTTCAGGCCTCGCTCTTCGCTCCCACTCTGTCCAGGACACAGAGGCCCACCCCAGACACCTGTGAGCTCTCCCAGCCCACAAACCAGCCTGAAGTGCAGCCGGGACTAGAGGAGGATGAATACGGGGTGTGGGGGGGAGGTGAGGGGACCCCGGCCCCTCCCAGCTCCACCATAGGGCCCAGAGACCAGACACAAGCCCCAACTGGGGGGGAGGGAGTTGGGCAGCAGCTTTGGCTTTGCTCTTGTCTTCAGCCCCTGAGGCTCCAGGAGCACCTGAGAGGGGCCCAGGGCCCCTTCCCCAGTTCATTCCTGTCTTTGGGTTCCTTATCCTAACAGCTGGCCCAGCCGCCCCTGAGCCTTGAGCCCCAAGCCCTTGGCCTCCCCTTGCTGTGCTCTGCTGCCCGCTCCCCGCTCCAGGCCCATTGCTGTCCCCAGCTTTACCCCGTCTACCCGCGGCCTCCATGGTGCCCTACCCCCACTCCGACATCCTTCCCCCCTCCTCACTGCCCTGGGGCCACAGCACTCAAATGGTCGGAGTCCAGTGCGAATCTGGACATGCTGCCCCTGTGTGCAAAGCCCTTTGCTTCCCCAAATCTGTACCCCTGAGGTCTAACCCCCATGTGCGGGTATGCATGCAGGGGTGTTAGGTTACGGGGGTGGGGGCCTCCTGAGTGGGATCAGCGCCCTCACGGGGGCTCCAGAGAGCTCCCACGGCCCTCCGTCACAGTGTGGGAGGGGATGTGACCAGGAAGCAGGCACTCACCAGGACAGTGCTGGTGCCTTGGTCCTGCGCTCCTGGACCTCCAGGTCCTGAGAAATAAACCCACTGTTTATTTGTTTTTATTTATTAAGCTGCTCAGCCTGTGGTGTTTGGTTATGGCAGCCTGGATGGAACAAGACCCCGTCCACTGGCTCTGGGAGTACGACCCAGTCTCCTTAGCGCTCAGCCTGGCAAACAAGACCCCGTGCAGGGCCTCCCCTTTCAGAACAACCCCTGCCCCTGCACATCTTGCCCTTGGCCCTCTGGCATCCCTAAGGGCTGTAGATCAGGTTTCTGCAGGGCTTCCGTGTGCACGCACACACACACGTGTGTACACACATGCAGGCACACATTCCATCTTCCACGCCCGACTTTTACTCTTTTCTCACAATGCTCTCCCACTCTGTCCCTGGCCAACTGTCACCCTTCATTCAAGACCCAGGCTGGGCAGGACCACTCCCAGGACGGGTGCTCTGCCTGAGCTGGCTGCCAGTACAGCGGGCCTCTGCACCCTGACCTGCTCTGGCCCAGTACTTCCCACCTGCGGGGTGCTTCGAGGGCAGAGTCCGTGCTTCGGACAGCTCTGTGTTCCCAGAACCCACCCCAGACCCCAGCCCTGGGCGGGTGCTTATAACGGTTTACGGACAAAAGGAAATGACCCTCGAAACCCACGATGCCCTGGCTCCTCCCTTACCAGCCCCCAGGAGCTGAGCAGACCCGGAAGCCCCCTCCCCACTCGCGTGTCTCTCTTGGAATTTCTGTCCAGGAGGCCGTTGGGTCCCTTAGGTCCTTGGGACAGTTATCACAGGCCCTGCTCTGCACCTCCTGGCCCTCCCTGCCCTGAAGCCAGTCCTGCATCCCAGAGCCGCCCAGGTGCCCCTAGCACCGGAGCCGGTGTGCGTGTGTGTGTGTGGTGGGGTGTGTATGTGTTTGTGGGGTGTGTCTGTGGGATGTGGAATGTGTGGGGTGTGTGTGTGAGATGTGTGGGATGTGGTTGTGTGTGGTTTGTGTGGGGTGTGTGTGTGGGGTGTATGTGTGTGTGATATATGTATGTGGTATGTGTGTGTGTAGTATGTGTGTGGTATATGCGTGTTGTGTGTGTGGTGTGTATGTGGTGTGTGTGGGGCGTGTGTGTGTGTGGCGTGTGTGGCATGTGTGTGGTGTGTATGTGGCATGTGTGTATGTGCATGTGGTGTGTGGCGTGTGTGTGTGTGTGGGGTGTGTGTGTGAGGTGTGTGTAGTGTGTGGGGGTATATGTGTGGGTGTGTGTGTGGGGTGTGGTGTGTGTGTGGGGTGTGTGTGTGTGTGGGGTGTATGTGGATGTGTGGATGTGTGGTGTGTGGGGTGTGTGTGGGGTGTATGTGGATGTGTGGATGTGTGGTGTGTGGGGTGTGTGTGGTGTGTGTGTATGTGTGTGGGGTGTGGGTGTGTGGTGTGTGTGTGGTGTGTCTGGGGTATGTGTGGCGTGTGTGTGGCACGTATGTGGTGTGTGTGGTGTATGTGTGTGTGTGGCGTGTGTGTGTGTGGTGGGGGTGAGTGTGGTGTGTGTGGAGTATATGTGTGTGGTGTGTGTGTGGTGTATGTGTGTGTGGTGTGTGTGGTGTCTGGTGTGTGTGTGGTGTGTGTGGGGGTGTGTATGTGTAGGGTGTGGTGTCTGGCATGTGTGGTGTATGTGGTGTGTATGTGTGTGGCATGTGTGTGGTGTGTATGTGTGTGGTGTGTATGTGTGTGGCGTGTGGTGTGTGTGTGGCATGTGTGGGGGTGTGTGGCATGTGTGGTGTGTGTGGTTTGTGTGTGTGGGGTGTGTATGTGTGTGGCGCATGTGTGTGGCGTGCACGTGTGTGTGTGGGGGCGTGGTGTGTGTGTATGTGTGTGTGGGTGTGTGTGTTGCATGTGTGTGTGGGGTGTGTGTGTGGTGTGTGGAGTATGTGTGTGTGTGTGGTGTGTGTGTGTGTGTGGGGTGTGTGATATGTGGCTGTGTCGTGTGTTGGGTGTGTGGTGTGTGTGTGGCGTGTGTGTGGTGTGGTGTCTGGGGTATGTGTAGCGTGTGTGTGGCATGTATGTGGTGTGTGTATGTGTGTGTGTGGCGTGTGTGTGGCGTGTATGTGTGTGGTGTGTGTCGCGTGTGTGTGGGGGTGGGGTGTGTGTGTGTGTGGGTGTGCGTGGGGTATATGTGTGGGGGTGTGTGTGTGTGTAGAGTGTGGTGTCTGTGGGGTGTGTGTGTGTTGCATGTGTGTGTGGGGTGTGTGTGTGGAGTATGTGTGTGTGGTGTGTGTGTGGGGTGTGTATGTGTGTGATGTGTGTGGCGTGTGTGTGTGTGGTGTGGTGTCTGGGGTATGTGTAGCGTGTGTGTGGCATGTATGTGGTCTGTGTGTGGCGTGTGTGTGGCGTGTATGTGTGTGGTGTGATGTGTGTGGCGTGTATATGTGTGTGGTGTGTGTCGTGTGTGTGGGGGTGTGGGGTGTGTGTGTGTGCGTGGGGTATATGTGTGGGGGTGTGTGTGTGTGTAGAGTGTGGTGTCTGTGGGGTGTGTGTGTTGCATGTGTGTGTGGTGTGTGTGTGTGGAGTATGTGTGGGGGGTGTGTATGTGTGTGATGTGTGTGGCGTGTGTGTGTGTGGGGTGTGTGTGGCATGTGTATGTGTGTGGCGTGTGTGGGGATGTGTGGGGTGTGTGTGTGTGGGGTGTGTGTGTGTGGGGGGGCAGGCAGCCTATTGGAGTCGTCGTCCCGGGCTGGAGCGCCTTTCCTGAGGCGGGCTCCGTGCTCAGGCTCACAGGGTCCGCTCCCGGCGCCGCCTCGCTCCCTCCCACCTTCAGGACTGTTACGGGGAGCTCCTCCTTCCCCAACGCAGATCCCTCCACTTCGCAAACACGGAACCCACGAATCCCCCCGATTCGAAAGGAACAGTCTCCTGTTATGCGATCCTGGAAGAGGCACCACTTCAGGGTGGGAGGATCCCTCCGCTCACTCTTCCGGGCTGTTCTGCACTGCTCATATGTTGCTGCCTTCCCTTTTCTTGCCATTTTCTGTAACCACAGCCTCTGTGCAGCGCCGCAGCAGCAGGGAGCGTCTGCCCTCTGGTGGACAGGGCCGGCACTACAGGCCAGGATCCCAGCCCAGCCCAGGTCTTGAAGGGACCGTTTCTAGGGCAGATCTCCAAGTCGTTAAGGAGCCCTCACTCATGAGGACCGTGCAGGAGGCTGCAGAAGTCCCCCCATCCACCCCTTCCCGGCCTCGGGCCAGCGGGCATTGTGAATGGCAGTATATATAGAGAGAGTCCATCAGCAACGAATGTAGCTGAGCTCTAGGAAAAGCAGCTGAGGTTTGGTTTGGTCCTGCCTGGCCCCCAAGTCCATCTGCGCCTCCTTCGCCTCTACTTATCAGTAAATCCTGACAAAGGCCTTTGTTTCCGCTGCAGTGGACGGCTGCACCCTGTTCTCAGTGGAGTCCCCAGTGGTGCCCCTCGCTTCCATCCACCCAGCCCGGCCCCAGAGCTCACCTTGAGGGAGATGAGTCGCAGCCGGTAATCCTCAGTGTGGATGACCCTGTGCACGGTGATCTCTACGCCATCGTGCACCACCTGCTCCTCCGGCCAGTACTCGGTGCATTTCTGCAGGGGCCCAGATCAGGCTGCGAGCCTGCCCTCTGCCCCATCCCCTGCCACACCCCATCCCTCCCCAACGCCCCTCCAGGGCCAGCAGGGGGCATAAAAACACAACAGGTCCCGAGCTCCACAATCTATAAGAACATGAACTCTATGGCTCGGTATCTGTATCCGGCAGTTGGAAACTGTCCTCATTCTTAAGGACTTCTATGGGGAGTCAATGAACCTGGCTGTCATGGGTACAGCCAGTGTTGGTCCTGGCCGGCTGGGAAGCAGCTGAGCATCACGGGTACCAGCGGTGGAGAGGCTGGCTCCAGGCTCCACCAGCGACCACATGGTCCAGCTCTGGCTGCTGTGAGCCCCGCCAGCCTCACAGGCCAGTCATAGGATTCACGTGGGATCCTGATGCTTGGGACAGGACACAAAGCAGCGAGCACTTGGTTACGGCCCGGGGTCCCTACCTCGTTCATCTCCTCGATGTTGGTGATCATGACGATGATGGGCGCGTGCTCCTGCCACACCATGCGCCAGAAGTCGGCCACCTGTGCTCACGATGGGGCCCTGTGTGGCGATGTACACCTTCTCCTCGCCGCCGTAGCCCTGTGGCCAGCCGAGCCCAGGTTGTCAGGCTTGGAGGCAGCACTCCCAGGGCCCAGTCCCCACACTGGGGCTTGTCCCGGGGCTGGCAGCAGCCACACTGGTTTGGCCGTCGGGATGGGGCTACGTACCCGGATGTAGTTGGCATTGATGTAGGAACTCAGAGGATCCTCGGGATCTGGCGAGCTCAGACACACTCTGCTGTGAGGGTCTGGGGTGGGGGAGGGAGCCAGGTGAGGCAGGGACCTGGGCACGGCCCACTCCAGGGCCCCACCCCTCTTCTGGGACCTGGGCAGTTCTTCCTTCCCCCCTGGCCATTAAACAAGGACCCCTCTTGGGGTCCATTTGCCAGGACAGGCGAGGCCTCGGGGTAAGGAGGCAGTGGGAAAGGCCTTGTTGTGTGCCCGTGCCCCTTCAGCTGTTCTGCACTCCCTGCACCCCACGTTCTGGGGAAGAGAAAGCCACGGCAGGAAAGGGGTGACCTTCGGTAGAGATCCCCGACAGCAGGTGGCAGCTGCAGCGTGCGGATGCGCTGTCACTGACCGGCTGAGACGAGACGACAGATGCGTGTGCACAGGGGCCCTCTCTCCCCAGTCTATTCACGTCAGTTCCCAGAGTGACAGATTCCCGTAACATCCTGTTCTTCCCGGGGTAGACTCTGCTTTGTTCCAGCTCCAGCCAGCCTCCCTGTAGTTGTCTGTTCTGAGACCGGGTGTGGGGTAGGCAGGGAAGCTAGCTGGGGGCCTGCAGCTCTGGGGCCTAGGCTCACTTTGGCACAGAGTCTGATCCCTTCTCTGGATCGAAGGCGCTTCTAGAGGGCACAGGGGGGCTTGCACAGGTGGTGGTCATTGCCAAGTCCACATCACCGAGCCAGAGAGCCTGGATGCGGGACGTGGCCCCATGACTCCCCGGCAGCATCGAGGTGGACAGTCTGCCCCGTCTCCCTGTGCCTCGCCTGCACGGTGGGGATGCTCTGTTCACCACGACCCCAAATACTGTGTGAAGGTTAAAGGAGGCAACGTTAGTTAGCCGGGTAACTTAGACCAGTGTGCACACAGCGCCAGCACAGGCGAGCAGCTGCCACACAGTTGCCATTGCTGCCAAGCTCTACCATTAGGCAACGGGTAAAGGAAGAGTCTGCAACACGGGCGGCGACGTGCACACCTCGCCTCTGCTGCCCTTTGCCTCCCGGTCCCACTGCCTGAGGTCTTGGCAGCACCGTGGTTGTCGTGCAGAGGGACACAGCAGGGCGGCGCGGATGGAGAGGGGCGAGGGGGAACTTCGGGAGCAGGTAGCTGTGCCTGTGTTTGGCCATCTCCCTTCCCCTGGCCTGCAGGACGGAAGTGGGCACTGCCCACCCCCGCCAGACACCAGAGCCTGCAGCGTGCTGGGCAGGCAGATGAGGAACATACGGCAGTTGAGCATTGGGGCTGCGGGAGCAGACTTGGCCCGGCTGCGTGGGCTTCCTGGAAGAGGTGGCTCCTTGGCGGGGTTGGCAGGCCCTTAGCCGGAGGAGCAGGGGATGCTGTTGTGTGGGATTCCAGTGCCCAGGGCTGGGCGGGACTCGTGAGAGGCGAGGCTGGACGGGAACGAGAGGCTACAGGGTCATCTAACCCAGGCTTAGAAAGCTGACCCTCAAGCCAAGGGCCACTCGGTGGCAGTGGCTGCGTCTGAGGGGGAGAGCGACTCGACCAGGGTTCTGCTGTGCAGCACTCCGCAGGCAGCGCCAGGAGGACAGGAGAGGGGAGCGTGGAAGTCAAGAGAGTGGACAGCAGAGGACCGTGATGAGCCGGGTGAGACGTGTCGGGGGTCACAAGCACGCCTGGCGTGTGCCCAGGTCTCTGTACGTGGCATCCCCTGCGACTGGCCCTGACCTTGTCACTTGGCGGTGAGGACGGAGAGGAGAAGCCGCTGCTGGGAGGTGTTCATCCACCACCCACCTACTCCCCCTCCTCCTAACCTGTCCACCTCTCCCTGCCCCGTCTGTCCATCTATCCACTCATCTGACTGACCATCTACCCACCCGTCCGTCTGTCCATCCACGAGCCACGCGCCAGGCACCGTTTTGGTGCTTGGGACACAGTGATGAAAGACAGACATCTCTGGCCTGCCCCTTGTTCTCCATGCCTCCTGCTGGGTTACCATTACGCTGTGCACCTGTCTCTCCCACTGCACCAGGGCTCCTTGTGCACGGTCTGTCTTATTCACATCTCAGCTCTTAGCCTTGAGAAACGGGTGCTGCCTCAAGGAGACCTCAGGGTGGCCAGGACCTGAGGGGCGGCCTCTGCTAAGCCTGCCCAGTCCTCCTCCCCTGAACCCGGCTCTGAGCGAGCAGGGTTAGCTTGTGCTGGACACACACAGGAGGTTGGGGCCTGGAAGCTAGGCCACGGCTGGAGTGGCTTGAGGCTCTCCACAATCCAGTGAGGACCAGGGGAGACACGGCCCAACTGCTGCCCTCCCCAGTGGGAATCCTGAGTGACCAGCAGGGCCCTAGGTGCTGGGGGACCCGAGGCCCCCCGACCCCCCCCCCCCCAGGCAGGGCTGGGAAGGGGAGGGCAGGAGGAGGAAGAGGTAAGCCGCCCTGAATAACGCACCCTGGCCTTAAATGGTGCTTTGTTGAACCGGAACTACCTAGAGACTCTGTATCCATAGCAACCACAAGTCGATATTTTAAAAGTTAAAAATAAGTCATGACATCTTACATGTTGTCGGAGATGCTGATGGCAATGCCGCTTTTTGAAAGCCTTGCTACTCCACACACGGAGTGGAGTATATTTGCGGCGATTCGCTTTCAACACGTCACCCACCACCCCCGCCTCCGACCCCAGCAAGCCCTGGGGGCCCGGGCCCAGAACTTGGCAGGGGTGGCAGGCACACAGGGGCCTGATGAAAGTGACTTGGACACTCCAGGGCACAACGAGGAGCACGGGGTCACCTGTCTCCCACCCCAAGGGAGGAAAACCCTGCAGTGTCTTGCACACACTGAGTGACGGGGAGCTCACTCCCTGCAGAGGCAGCTCACTCCCCTGAGTGGTGGCTCTGCCTGTTAGAGAACTCACAATCTGAGCAAATGGAACACCAGACAGACAAGAGAGCCCGAAACTGGGGTCACCGGGGCCCAGGTGTGAGACCCAGTTCTGTGCATCCTATCTGGGACTGTAAAGGACGCATGTGTCACCTCTTGAGCCCTAATCTTGTCTTCTTGACATCCACCCACTCTGTAGAGAGAAAGGATGTGGCCGCTTCTCAGTCCCCACGCACTGCTTAGGAGCTGCCAGGATCGCCTCCCAGTCTCTCTGGGTTTCCCCAGAGCCCAGCACAATGCTGGCCAGGCAGGGCAGGGGTCCCGAGAACGCTGCGTGGGAGGGGGAGCCAGCCTCTGCCCTCACCAGCAGGTGCCTGCTTCACTGCACCTCCAGTGCCCCGCCCCTTGTCCTCCAGCGCCCTGTCACCCATGCCACCCAGCTCCGGCCTCCCCGTCTCCCCAGGGTGAGGCAGAGCCTGCCCCAGGCCCTGGGGGCGGGGCGGGTACTCACTGGGCAGGATGGTTTTGTACCGGTTCTTCCGCACCAGCCCGGGGATGTCGTACTCTTTGGGATCCACAAAGTTCATAGGGATTTCCTGCAGGAGGAGAGCGTGGTGGTGTTGAGTGGCTGACCCCCGGACCGCTGCGCCCCCCACTTCCCGTCCAAGGGGTGGCCTGGGTGCAAGCGCTCCTCCAGCAAACCATCACTGTTACGCCAGTTCGCAACGGTGCCAGACGCGAGCTGTGTGTGCAATGTCACTGCTGCTGCTTGGGAGCCAGCCTGGCATGCAGTAGGCACTCAATAAATAACTGGTAAATACAGATGGCGACAAGGAAAGGAGACACGGCCAATCAAGGCCTTCTCCCACACACTCTGTGCAGCAGCCCAGCTGAGTAGCCTACCCAGGGCATTCCTGCTAACACCAACCCCTCCCTTATCTCCTGGCCGTCTTAAAGGCCACCTCCCAGGCCCCCTGTTGTGGTGTAGTGGGTTGGGCTGCTGTCTGTGATGCTGGCTGTGCACATGGGCGCCAGTTCACATCCTGGCTGCTCCACCACCTCTGATCCAGCTCCCTGCTGATGGCCTGGAAACAGCAGTGGAGGATGGCCCAAGTACTTGGAATCCCACCACCAGTGTGCAAGACCTGGATGGAGCTCCTGGCTTCAGCCTGCCCCAGCCCTTGCTGTTTCAGCCCCTTGGGGAGTGAACCAGCAGATGGAAGATCCCCCCCCCCCCACTCTGTACCTCTGCCTTTCAAGTAAATAAATATATCTTTATAAAAAAAAGTTTAAAAAAAGTCACCTCCTCTGAGAAGCCTTCCTGATTCTCCAGTGGGACAGGAGCCCTCTGAGCTGCTGAGGCTGCCTCTACATCTCCCATTCACTCTGTGTGTCAAGAACTCCTAGCTCAGTGTGATTCATGAATTGTGACCAAGGTTGCTAAAAGGAGGTGTTAACAGGGGAAGTGGGCTAAGCTATGGGAACTCTTTGTATTATTATCTCCTAATTTTTGTTTGGTAAATTTAAAACTATTCTCAAATAAAATGTAAAAAACTTAAACAAAAAAAGAGCTCCCAGTGTGCCCTTTGACCCCAGGACGTGCACTGTCTTGGGTCTGACCTCCCTCTGCCTCCACGGGTGCCAGTCTCCTCCTGGTTGCTGATCAGCCAGCCTCAGTTCTGCCTCCGGGTCGGCCTTCGGCTTGCTGGGAGCACAGGTTGCATCTGTCTCTGAGCCCCATTTCAAACCTAACCTTGACTGACAACGACGGGGCTGCTGCACTCTCCTGGGTCCTCTCAGCTCTTAATTGGGTGGGCAACCAGGGATGTCACTTCTAGGGCCCCTCAGGGTCCGAGAGGAGGCAGCTGGAGGCTGTGGCACGGAGGCCAGTTGGGGAAGGTGACTGCGACTTGAGCCACAGCCCCCGTGGAGGCGATCAGAAAGAATTCAATAGTTTGAGCTTATATTCTTAGAACTGTATCTATGGCCTACGCTGACCCTATTAAAAACTAATGAAAATTTAAAATAAAAAACAAGGAAAATTCAAATCAAAACCCAAAATGAGATACCACCTCCTACCAGTTAGGATGTTATCATGAAAACAATAACAAAGTTAACGAGCACGGACAAGGAGATGGGAATGATGGGATTCTTGAACACAGGTGGTCGGAAAGCACAATGGAGTAGTCGCCGTAAGAAACAAATTAAACACAGACTGATCATATGGCCTACTGACTTCATCTCATTGTTCACTGTAGCACTGTTCACAATGGCCAATGTCAAAAACAATCTAAATGTTCACTGGCAAACAAATGTGTTCTAAAAAATAAAATAGGGGCCGGTGCTATGGCATAGTTAGGCTAAGCCTTCGCCTATGGTGCTGGCATCCCATATGGGTGCCAGACTGAGTCCGGGCTGCTCCACTTCTGATCCAGCTCTCTGCTGTGGCCTGGGAAAGCAGTAGAAGATGGCCCAAGTGCTTGGGCCCCTGCACCTGTGTGGGAGACCCAGAAGAAGCTCCTGGCTCCTGGCTCCAGATCAGCTCAGCTCTGGCCGTTGTGGCCATCTGGGGAATGAACCAGCGGATGGAAGACCTCTCTCTCTCTGTTTTTCCTTCTCTTCCTCTCTGTAACTCTGCCTCTCAAATAAATAAATCTTTAAAAAAAATGAAATAAAGGAATGGAATTCCAAAACAACAAGAAGAGTTTGAGCAACGCTTGCTGATGTTGGCCAGGAGTCCCCGAGGGTCCGGCTGTCTGTGGTTCGAAAGCCTGATCGTGGCCCACAGACTCAGAACCCCAGAGCACCCCGGGCGCCTGCCCACTGCTCTGCACTCACTGTCCATCTCTTAAATCCAGACTACAGCCCTAGTACATTCACCCCCATTTTCCAGGTGAGGAAACAGAAATACAGTGGGAGCGGCTTGTCCACGGTGGCGGGAGAGCAGACACTGAGGTGAGGTTAACGTTCCGCAGATGCCGCGTTCTGGGCACTGTGTTCTACCTCCCAGCCAGGGGCGTGACCGGGACGCCCAGAGAGGCCAGCGACTCGGGGTGTGGGGGGAGACTCACAAGGAACTCCGCCTGCAGGAGGAAAGGGTCCAGGGCCTTTTCGTGCAGCTCGTCCGCTCGGAGGACGCGGGAGGCGCTGAGCAGGTACTCGTGGGCCGACTCCTCGCGGGGCGACACCAGGTAGCCAAAGCCCTCCTCGTTGCAGCCCGGCGTGCACATGTCCAAGGTCAGGGACACGTTGGAGCCCCTCCTGGAGGCACAAGAAGGAAAGTGAGCCTCGCAGCAGAGGGTGGAGTGGGTGGGATGAGGAGGGGGGATGGTCGGGGAGCGGGGGAGGCCAGGGTGGGCTTGAGGAAGAGGAGCGGGAGAGTGACCTGACCCACTGCACGCCACAAGGAGCAGGAGTCTCAGCCTGACCCCCCACATCCTGCCTCCTATCCTGGAGCCCCTAACCGACTTTTAAAAAGTTTCAGCCAAAGCAACCCCAACTGGGCTGCCCTGGGCTCTCCTCTGTCAGTGCAGGAGGCGGCTCCTCCCTGTGGCCTCCAGGGAGCTGAGAGAGAGAGAGAGAGAGAGAAAGAAAGAAACAGCTCCACATCCTCTATATCACGCCCTGGGCCCATCCAGCCTTCATGGAGGCTGCCCAGGAGCCAGAGACTAGCAGGGAGTCCCAGGGGCAGCAAGGATGTCTACACTGGAGTAGCTGCACTGCGCTCCGTAGAGGGGGACTGAGCCCCCTGCCCCCTTCGCCCACACTGTCACAGTAAGGCGGGGGCAGAGCTGAGACAAAACCTAGGTTTTCTGACTCCTCATCTAGTGCTCATTCCATGCCGTCAAGTGGGTAACTGAGACTTGGGGTGACCTGGCTCTGGAAAGGGGGTGTCTGTATCTCCCAGGTGTGCTCTGTGGAGCACCACGCGATACTCCATAAAAACAGGGATCTTGGATGGAGAACTTGGGCAAACGCCACGCTGTCCCCTTGCTGATACACGCAGGCATGGCAAAGCCAAGGTCCGCAATGAAGAAGCCCACCCGGACTCACTGGCATGCAGGGCTGCGTGAGCGTGCGCAGGGGTCTGCCCGCACACCTCTGTGTGTACACAGGAGGCGGTGGCACCTACGCGAAGCACTAGAACAGCACGTCTCCACTGGCTGAACTGTATGGCCAGCTCTGTCCTGGGCACCGGGAGGAGGTCAGAGTCAGGCACCCCTCCCCCACCCCGCCCCCACCCCTCCCACCTCTCCTGCAGACCCATGGCCTTGACGGTCAGTGAGGTGGGGTCAGCCTCAGGCTTGATGTCCATCACACAGTCAAACACGGGCGTCTCGGGCACAGGGTCCAGGTCCAGGAAGTCATCCTCTCCCTTCTCCTCCATCCACTCTGAGTAGGTGAAGGAGGGCTGGCGGCTCACCGACTGGCGCCTGTCCTCGGCGGGCAGTGGGGCGGGCGGCTCTGCAGGAGCCCTCAGGAAGTGCCACACCTAGTGGGAGGCACGTGGTGTCACAGATGGGGATCGGGGACAGTGCTGGCTGACCCCGGGGTTCCTGGGACGCCCACGGGGCGGGGTCTCCTGCCCCTCTGAGTGTCTGCAGCAGCCTTGCTCTCCTGGGGACTGTCGCCAGGACAGGAGGGCTGTCCCTCCACTCTCCTGCCTTGCAGCTCAGAATCTTCACGGGCTCAGGCCTTCTTGGTGGGCCTGGGGGGTTCCCAGAGCCACCTTCTCCCCAGCCCAGGTCACTGCAAGTCTCCTCGCTCCTGGAAGGGCCCACAAGTGGAAGGAGACAGGACCCTTGGCCTCACCTCACCCAGGTCAGAGGGCAGCTGGAGGGGGAGGGGGAACCGGGGCCTGAGCCTGGGGGGGTTGGTGCCTTACCAGGGGGGCGACGAGGAGCAGGCCCACAGACAGAGAGAGGAGCAGCAGACTGGGGAGCCCCCAGGCCCCAGCGCCCAGCCAGGCCTGCGGAACGGCGGACAAACAGGTCAGGGTGCTGGCGGTGGCAGCATTTTCCGCCTCTTCCAGGTGGCCAAACTAAGGTTCTGAACACCCATGTCCCAGGGCTTGGGATGGGGAGCAAGCCGAAGAACTGCAGGGGCTGGGCTGGCAGTATCCTTCCGAACTTAGGGACGGCCCCTCTGCGGGTGGGAGAGTGGGATGGGCCCCCGACCCCGTCACCCCCCTTCCCCGGGGGCTCCCTGGAGCTTACTCACCGTGGCCCCCAGCTGCTTCAGGAGCGTGAGCAGGGAGGAGATGAGGTCTCTGGCATTCTGCGACCACGCGTGGCCATAGCCGCTGAACCACAGTACCCCGCAGGCAAGCTGGGGCGGCCAGGGGAGCGGACTGAGCTCCGAGCGCAGGCACTCGCCCCCCAGCCCCCAAGCTGAGCTCACCTGTGGCCTCAGCCGGGCCCCTGGGGGAGGCTCCTGCACCTCGGGACAGCTGAGGGAAGGGGGTCCCCAGAGGAGGCCTCAGGAAGCCAGGAGAAAGCCCCTCCCAGAGGAGACCCGGTCGGGAGTGTCACACAAAGGGAATTCCTCAGAGACCTTCTAGAACCAGGGGGTTAGGGCTGGGGGTCCCGTGTGCCCAACTCCTGGTGTGAGGGGCTCAGAGCTCCAGGCTTCCCCTCACACCTGCCATGAAGACCCAGAGTCGCCAAGGGACACCAAGGACATCCCTGCCCTGCTGTCTCCCCAGGTGGCCACGTTGGGAGGAAGCGGTGAGGCGGTCTCTCAGCCCACCCTGGCCACAGGCCCGGGTGAAGCCTGCAGGTCCTTACCACGAACTGGGCGGCAGCAAACAGGCCCAGGCTGCTCCTGACGGTGAGGGAGTGGCTGCCGGTGCCTGGAGGTGGCGGCTTCTGCGCTGGCTCCGTGGGCGGTGGGGGCGGTGGCATTGCCGTCGGCGAGTCAGGGAGCCCTTCCATCTTGTCCGGCGCCTCCATCACTACAGGGTCGGGGAGACCTGTGGAAGGCGGGACACGCAGGCCACTGAGCACGGCTGCTGTCCGCACACGGGTGGCCACTCCTGGCCGCGCTGCCGTGGCTTCCTCTGATCCGATGCGGGATCAGTCGGTGCGGCTCCACTTCCCGCAGTCACCCTAGATTAGCAAGAGCGATATTCACCTACCTTCGTCAGAAAGAGCTAAGTGTGGGTGGACAGATTATTTCTCTTTTATTTCTCCAGTAACAGAGTTAAAATGGCAGGAGGTTTTTCAGAGTTAATACCGCTGTATTTACGCAGCTTCATTCTTTTCCATTTCTTAAGGAAACAAAAAACAACCACCTCAAACTCAATTGAAAAAAAAAAAAAAAAGGGAGGGGGAAAGACACAGCAGGATCAGGCCATGACCCTGAGCAAGCCACCCACGCCTGCACTGGGGATTTCTGTCTCTTCTGGTCTGTGCTCCCACTGGGCTGGGGGGTGAGACTCTTAATGAGATCATGGCCACGTGACCCTGTCCCTCAGGCCTCCCCACCCCCAACACTGACGGGGTTGGAGGGGGAAGGCAGTTAGGGCAACGTGGAGAAAATTCTGGTGTAGCAGGGTAGGGGTCCCTTGTCTCCTTGGTGAGAATCACTCCCTGCCTACGTCTTAGTTTGTCCTCCTGGGAAATGGCGGTTGAGCTCCATCCTTGGCTTTCTAAAGGCACTCTACAGGGCCACTGCATTTCCCCAGGTGCACCAGGGGCTGGTGCTGCGTGCTCCGAGCCCCCGTGTCACAAGTGTGGTTGTCCCCGGTCTGTGCGCTGGGTCTGCTATGCTTATGTTAACAGAAACTCACTCCTAAGGAGTCTCAACACCACTGGCTTAGGTTAGAGGCCCTGGCTCTAGTGTGGGGACTGCAGGGATGGTCCCTGGGGAAGGGGGCGTCCCAGATGTTGGAAGGCCCTACTCAAACACACAGGGTTTAGTTTACGGCCAAGAAGAGTGGGACCAACGAAATGGCAGTGGACAGCTGGATAGCCTGGGAAGGGGCTGTGCACACATCGCCATGGCTACAGGAGGATGGACTTCCTTTCCAGCAGGATGGCAACAGAACCATGGGAGGCCAGCATAGCTGTTTGTCTCCGTGTTTGTGTGCTCACTGGACAAACATTTGCCGGGCCTCTCTCCTGTGATGCCAACAGCCCGGGGCCTGGAGACACCTATGTTTGTGGCTGGGCCCCCTTCCCCAGCTGCCAACCTTGGATGGCTCCTTAGCTGCTGTGTGCCAACCAAACCCCCTGCAGTTCCCAGAAGTGCCTGCTGCCCCCATGCTTTGCACAGGCTGTTCCCTCTGCCTGGGACGTCCCTCTAACTCCCTGCACCCCTCCTGTGCCTCCCACATACCTTGCCATCTTGCAATCTGCAGCTGAAGTAGGTCCTGCCCTGCGGTACAAGAGGGAGCAGCCCAGGCTCCTCCTGCCTACTGCCAGCACCAACAACGCGTCTGTAACGTGCAGGGCCCTGTTCTGAGTGCTGCACGTGCGCTAATTTGTTTGCAAACCCTAGGAGGTTGGTACTGCTATTATCCCCACTTCACAGACGGAAGAGGAAGATGAGGTATGGAGAGGAGGAGAGAGATGCTCGCTGTCACCCAGCTACTAAGAGGTGGGTTCAACCCAGTGCACTCTCCATGGTCCGTAAAATGATTTGTTGACTATCGCCTTCCTGAACATCACCTTCCGACTCGCCTGCAAGCTCCCTGAGGACAGAGCGCTACCAGTGCTGCTCCTCATGACTGCTTAGCCCGTCTTGAGCATGTAAGTCTACAATGGATACTTACTACGCAAGTGATGGTCTTACTCATTTTTCTTACCTGATAAATGGGGATAATTGTGCACACTCTAAAAAGCTGTATAAAGACTTCAGATACTAAAGAAAAAAACACCCGGCATGATGCCTAGTAGTTAGTGGGTACCCGATACATGGCATATTATAAGAAATGTAACAAGATCATTTTTAATCTTCAAAAGCCTCCCAGTCTTACGGATAAAACTGAGCAGTAAATATCTGGCTACAAAGCCACACGCTGGGGCTGGCACTGTGGCGCAGCTGGTCAGGCTGCTGCCTGCGACACCACATCCAGTGTTAGAGTCCCAACTGCTCTGCTTCCAACCCAGATCCCTGCTAAAGCGCCTGGGAAGCAGTGGAAGATGGTCCAAGTGCTTGGGCCCTTGCCACCTGCATGGGAGCCCTGAATGGAGTTCCAGGCTTCTAGCTTCAGCCTGACCCAATTCTGGCTGTCGCAGCCGCCTGGGGAGAAAACCAGCGAAGGGAGATCCCTCTGTCCCTCTTCCTTCCAACTACATAAATCACATTTTTTTTTTTTGACAGGCAGAGTTAGACAGTGAGAGAGAGAGAGACAGAGAGAAAGGTTTTCCTTTTTCCGTTGGTTCACCCACTAAATGGCCACTACGGCTGGTGTGTTGCGGCTGGCGTGCTGCGCCGATCCGAAGCCAGGAGCCAGGTGCTTCCTCCTGGTCTCCCACGTGGGTGCAGGGCCCAAGCACTTGGGCCATCCTCCACTGCACTCCCGGGCCACAGTAGAGAGCTGGACTGGAAGAGGAGCAACCGGGACAGAATCCGGCGCCCCGATCGGGACTAGAACCCGGTGTGCCGGCACCGCTAGGCGGAGGATTAGCCTATTGAGCCATGGTGCCGGCTGCATAAGTCACATTTTTAAAAACAGCAGCCACAGCATCAAACCACAATGCACTTCACGACACACCAAGTGCAGTGGCTCCTCTGTGGGTGAGGAGAGGGCACCCCTGTGCTGTGAGGGGCACGGCTGCTGGACCCCTGAGCAGTGTGCTCAGGTCCTCGCAGCAAGGTGAGGAAGGGAAGGCCGCCATCATGTAGGAAGTCAAGGGCTTCTGGTGTCGACAGGCTGAGGGCTGGCTGCTTGGCAGCAAATCTCCACCCCGACATGGTGGGTGCTGGATACGGAGGAGGGGGAAGGGCTGCAGGCCAGGGTCGGCTGGGTTTTATGCACTGGCTCTGTGGTGCACGTGCTGTGGATCTGGGGCAATCCCTTCCCCTCTCCGGGTCTGTTTCCACTCCTATAAAAAGCAGGGCTTGAATTAGAAAGCAGTGCTTCTGGATGCTCCTGACCTCAGAGGACAGGGACCATGGGCCTCACAAAAGTTGGCTTACACACGTGTGGACTCTGCTTCGTTTGAAATTCATGGGTGTTCAGCATCCTGTGCTACAGTGTATCTCAGCTTGTTTTACTATTAAAGTGTTTTTGCCTCCCAAATCTTCAAATCAAATTTACGCTTCAGCAGATGTGTGACATTCACCTTGAGGCTTTGCCCTCGGGGGTACATGCACCCCAGTCTGCTAAGCATGGAACTTACCTGGAATAAAATATCATGCAACCATTCTAAATGATTGTGTAGATGAATATTTAATAACATGGAAAGAAATCTCGAAAGTTTGGATGAAGGCAAGGTTACAAAACAGTATGATTTCCCTGACATTAAAACTAAGAAAGCAGAGGCAGGCACTTTGTCTAGCGATTGAAGTGCTTGGGTTCTACACAGGACTCTGACTCCAGCTTCCTGCCAATGCAAACCCTGGGAGGCAGCAATGATGGCGCAAGTAATTGGGTGGGAGATCTGCATCAAGTTCCTGGTTCTTGGCTTTGGCCTGGTCCAGCTCCAGGCACTGGAGAGTGAATCAGTGCACAGGAGCTTTCTCTCTCTGCACCCCCTCTCTGCTTCTGAAATAAACAAACATTTCAAGAAAAAAAAGATGCGAATAACTGATGTAAGATGAGGAGTTCATATGAGATAGTGCTTGCACTCTGGCCTCAGAGTCAGCCCTTAAGGCATTTGGATCTGGCTAAAAAGCCCATGACAGTTTCTCAGGCAAGAAAAGCCAAGACACTGTGGCAAAAAAATGACCTAAATGAAAGATCTCTGTGAGTGATATCCCAGTGGAAAAGACAGGCCATCAAAGAAGGAGGTACCTTTCTCTGAAGGGAGGAGAGAACTTCCATTTTGATTATGGCCTTGTCTAAGTAAGGTCAGAGTTTGTGAACTAAAGAGGCTTCCATAGCCCTGGCAGCTCATGACAAGAGCCTCAGGTGATTACTGACGTCATAAATAAGAGTGTCAATTGTTAAATCAACAACAGGAGTCACTGTGCACTTACTCCCCATGTAGGACCTCTGTCCTTAATGTGTTGTACTATGTGAATTAATGGTAAAACTAGTACTCAAACAGTACTTTATACTTTGTGTGTCTGTGTGGATGCAAACTGTTGAAATCTTTACTTAGTATATACTAAGTTGATCTTCTGTATATAAAGGTAATTAAAAATGAATCTTAATGAAGAATGGGATGGGAGAGGGAGTAAGAGATGGGATGGTTTGCAGGTGGGAGGGTGGTTATGGGGGGAAAAGCCGCTATAATCCAAAAGTTGTACTTTAAATTTATATATTTATTAAATAAAAGTTTTTTTTTTAAAAAAGAAGGATACACAAAAAATAGTGCCTCCTAAGACAGAAATTAGGAACGGGTGAGAGGCTTTTTAGTCATCTAAGAAATTTATAATTTTGTATCATAATTATTTCCTACTTAAAAATATGTTAATAAAAATAAATATGTGAAAAGTTGTCAGTATCATTAGCCATCAAGGAAATACAAATAAAAATTATAAAGAGGAAAAAAAAGGATAGTGCTTGCAAAGAGTAGACTCCAGCGAATGGCTGGCACACAGTAAGTGCTTCATAATTGCTGTACATGATAAATGGCAGGGACAGACCTAGGTCTTAGCAGCGCTCCTTTGGGGAAGGCTGAGATTGGAGGTGATTTCATTTAAATTCCCTGAATTTCCTCCAATAAATATGTAGATATATACATGTGTATTTGTAGCGAGAGAAAGTATTTTTAAAATATTTCCATCTACTTGGAAGGCAGAGTGAAAGACAAAGAGAGTGAGGAGAGGGAGGTGGGCGGGGAGAGGTAGAGGGGTGAG